CGATCTTAAATTTGCAATGTACATAATTTCAAAACAAAACAAATTAAACAATTTGCATGGACCAGGAACAAGATTTGTTCCACATGTTTTTTTTATGATTTTAGATTTTTGAAAATTCCTGTGTAAAAAAAATAATACATTAGGCTCAATTTTTTTTCCTTTGACCACAAAGTACGATTTTTAATGAACCTCGTGTCAAATTTTCAAGCATTTCTATTATATCTAACAATTTATCTAATTACTAAGTACCTACAAAAAAAAAATTACGTAAAAACTTGTAAAATTAAAATATCTATAGTTAACTTAAAAATGTATCAATCGTTTTTAAACTATACTTTATTACGCATAGAAAGAGCAAATATAAATTTTCTATCAAAATGTCAAGGCTTTATGAATGTATTAAACTAAATTACATTAAAAAAACAAAATTGAGAATAATAAATTATTTTCGTACATTTTCCCGTGCTTTCTACATATTTTTTAAATTTTGTTCAATTATTAAAAGAACTACAAAGAAAATCAAAAAACGAATAAATTACTTAAGAACAAGATTAAAAATTCAACAAAAAAGGTCGCTTGTCGTTTATGTATTGGAGCAATGTTTATAGTAGAAACATAAGCCGTAAAAATTTAAAATAATGAAATTGTTGTGCGATAATTTGTAAAAAATCGTATATTTCGTCTTTTTTGGTTTTTCTTAATTATTACGAATAACTTTTTAAATATCAAAAACGAATTTTTCTATCAGTGGTTAAATATTATAAGAAACAAAATTGATATCTTGTTATTTTTCGATTGTAACAATATTTCTGGTAGAAAACATCGTGTGACTATAATGAAAACAATGAAAACGGTAACGCCGTGGCGCGCCTTAAATATTTACCAGTTTTTCTATAATTTTCTTTCGGTTTTTCATAATTATTTCGAATAAACCAAAAAAATGCACTAACTAGATAAAATTACATTTCCCAAAAAGGTACTGTAGAGTATACTTCGGAGCATGAAAAATTAATCATAGACACACAAAAAAAAAAAAGTACAGTAAAACCAATAGATGCCTCAGCTACGCTCTGAATCTAATACTGAAATAACTAATAACGGAAGTCGCAAGTAAAGCGCACAAAACACCTATCCAGTATCCCAAATAACCCCCATGTCTGTCTAGGTTTGCACATCTGTCATTGTATTTAAAATTGAACAATTTCTCTGTAAAATTAATGAATAAATACCTATATATAGCTATATTAAAATTTTTAACAATAATAATTTGAAATCTGTTTTCATTACGTTTTTTTTATAAATATTATTGAAACATCTTTAATAAAAAAAAAAAATTGTATTGATTGTAAGTGAAGATAAATTTAATCATTCTTACTTATAGTTTTTAAAAATATTGAAAATGTTCATGTGACCATTGGACGACTGTGGTTTATTATTAGTATATTATGTTTACTATTTTATTGTATGTGACAATGGTAATAAATGAATTTTGAATGATGCTATTTAATTATTATTATTATTTATAAACATGTATAATAGGCCATTCTTATACTTTCAAATACTAATGAAAATTGCAATTATTTAAATTTTACAACTAATTCCCTTAACTGATTTTATTTTTAAATATTAAATAAGATATAATAATGGTTCACAGTTGTGTTATTTGTACTGCGAAAATTGGTGACATGACTTTGCCATTCCATTTATAAGTATATGATAGCCATTTTCACTAATTTTAAATGATTATATAAAATATAATATCGTATTTATTATAAATTATAATAGTTCGGTTACAAATATCATTAAAAATTAAACTTAACTTCTGGTTTTTTTGTTGAATTAATTTGAATATTACTTGGTTTTTATAATTTAAATAATACAAAAGAAAAAATGTATTTATGAAAAAAAAAAGGAACCATACCATAGACATATTTATTTATCTATGCACCTTAGTTAGTGCACGAATTAAGATAATAGGATAGGCATCGACTCAACGAGCACTTATCAGATGTTATACGAAACTTCTTTGATCGAGAACTAACAGCTAACAACGTAATTGTGGTGATTTTTATAATTTTGTACTATATTCTGGCTCATTAAAAGTGAGTGCTGAAAAAAATGAAGTGGCAATTTTTAATTAGGCTAGATAATTTATACCCACAGATATATACATACATATATTTGTGTATATATCACGAATACAGATAATATATATCATGCACTAAAATAATATAGACTGGCAACGGAACCAATTTCTTCGGTCGAGTTTTTCGATGAATTATCGCGGAAGAAATCAAAAGGTTACAGCGCTATCTGTTGTAAAATAATAGCACCTTTAACACAATAATGTAAAATTAGAAACCGTATAACCACGAACGAGATAAAACTATAGATAACATAATAACTACTTAAAAATAATATTACTTTATTATCTATAGGTAAAACAATTAAAAAGTGATAACTGTTTGTATCACATATACGCCGCATCTGCAGTCTATAGGCATAAGAATACATTTACTGTATAGTTCAGAAAAACACCACTAAAATCGTTATTGGTCTTAGATATCCCCCACTTAAGTATTATCCGTAAAACTCGACCTCACTTCTACCATTCACCTATCATGTCGTTGTCAATCCATATTATCTTATTTCATGATATATATTAATTACGAAAAAAATTAGGATCAGACACTTTGCCGCAATCTAGTAGTGCTGTACCAAACTAAATAATAACAAAGTATTAAAACAATTCAAGTTTACCTTTGAAGTTTACTTTTTTAAAAATGTATGTTTTTGCTTAATTTGGTAATACTTAAAACAAAATGGCTAAAACTTGTTTTGGAAGTTTTGTTTGAAATATTTCAAAATGGTCTTACTTTAACAATTATATTACTTAACTAGGTATCTTATTTTGCTCTCAGATTGGTAATCAGAAAAAAAAGCCACGTGAAAAAAATTAGCGGAAAAAAAAGACAATTTGTATATTTTGTTTTTAAATTTTTTTTGTTTTTCTCCGAACAACCATTAATTTTCTCACCAGAAAAGTTATTAAAGTTAAAAATAAGTTGAACACAATTTTTAGTAAAAATAAAAACAAAATAATACACATTATACTTGTAAAATCAAATACAGATGGGAATTTAATGTATATCTGTAAGCAACGATAAACCATTGCTAACGAAAAAAACGAATCTGAGCGGAGTTTAATTGATAGTGATACTTTGTCAAAAATATATGCTATATTATAGTAAAATAATTAAATAGGCTCTATACAATGTTTTTAATAATATTTGTTTAATGTTGTACCAATTTCTCCGATTTTTCTAAGTTTTTCCCATATTTTTCCCAATTTTTCACATTTGTTGAGAAAACTCCTGGCAAAAACGAAAAACGACCTCTTTAAAGGACCTTTTTACACCCATTTCTTTTTAGATAAGTTGTTACATGTAAAAATCGGTAAATTCTGGTAGAAAAATTGTCCAAAGAATAACATAAAATAAAAAAATATACATCTTTGTAAAACGATAAGCTTCTTCGCTCCACTCAGAATCTAAAATTATTCTATAAAGCATTAGTAAACGATACCTAATAATACATTCATTATTATTATAAAAGTATTAAATGCTAATGCTATTATTATAGAATTAATAATAAAATTAATAACCCTTAATGTACCTAACTAATTAAAATATAATAAAAATTTGGCTTTTTTTTCCCGTGGAATTTTTTTCAATGGATTTTTTTTCGGCGATTTTTTTGCCTACATTTCTCTCGGATTATATCTGTTATGGAAAAATATTATACTTTACGAATTTTGTGGCCAATCTTTAGCCCTTTAATTGCTTTACTCCATCTTATTTTTTTTCGTGACCTCAAAACAACCCCCAAAGTAAATACTTTAAAAACTATAATATAAAAATTAATTTATTTTTGTATTTATTTTTATATGAAATATTGGAGGGAATGCTCGTGATTAGGAAGTTTGAAATGTTATACATGTATAAATTTAATACATTTTGAACACATCATTTATTATCTATTATACCAGGTGATACATTTAAGTGGGTACACTCATCATCTCGGAACGTATTACCTTTTTTTGGAATTTTTTTCTAGAAAATTCAAAAAACAAGCTGCTCTACAATTTTATATTTATGTTATTTTTTGTCACCCTTATTTTTGGGGGTAAAAACCACTACTAAAGGTATCTTTAATCGTGGTGCAGACTGCAGATGCGGTGTAAAAAATGTGTTGTCCACAGAAAAGAAAATATAATAATAAACGTTATTGTAAAACCAATACATTTCTCGCTCCATTCAGAATCTAAAATATGTAAATAATAAAAAAAATAGCCCGCTTTGAATAAATGCGAATTATTTACATTTGCATTTTTTAATAATTTTATAATCTTGTATTATTATGGTTAATACTTTACTCATATACCAAGGAAATTATATATTTTTTTTAGTATACTTGCAATATAAACCGAGTATATTAGACCGATAATAATATATGTTTCTTAAAACAATTCAAATTATATATTTGCAGATAATGCCATATTGTTTGAGTCTCTGAATAAAGGAAACGAAAATGATCCAGCATTTTGTTCAAAAGGCTGTGGTCGTTATTACACAGGTGCAATAAGCCCTCAGAAACCATATGGTGTTTACTTGTAGCGTTCACTTGAAATTCGAATGTATTATATGCCATAAACAGTTCAGAAATAAGCGACCATTACAGTGTTATCTATAATTACTTTTAATTAATTTATGGTGTGCATCAGGTTCTTTTTATCTGTATTCCGTGGTGTGCATACAATTATTATGGTTATCACTTTTTGATTGTTTTATCCACTATCCTAGAAGTTGAAGATAAGGTTATAAATGTAAGGAAAAAATACTGTTTCTTCCATGAAATAAATTCCCGCCAATTTGTTCATGTGTTATCTGTATTATCACAAATCATAATAAGAATGTTTTATTACAATAATCTGTTATTCTAATTGTAACTTTTATTATAGCCTATAGGTATTATTGTTTTAGTGTTTTACAATATGTAATATTAGTTGAGTTATATTCGTAAATATAGTTTTTTAAATATTTTTTTCGCCAATATGTGCGCTGCTAATACTGGTCGTTTTGTAAAACCTCAAGAAAATTCATTTTTCAAGTATGTTTTATAGTTTTACTATACTTGAAATCTTTACTAGTATGAAGTACTTTGAATTTTTTTATTTTAAATTTTTATTCCAGCCAAATTAAAGAAGACTCTAATGATATTCGATTGAAGCAGTCAATTGAAAACGACTTAATTGATAATAAATATGGCTTTATTCGTGTTAAAGATTACCAAGAGCATACGGGCTACCTCATTAATATGCATAGTGTAAATATTGTTTTTAAGGCTATAATATTAATGTTTCATTGTTATATAGAAAGATTGATAAAATTTTGGGAAATGTATTGATGTGTTGTGTTAATATTGAGCTGTTCACATTTTGTATACCAGTTACATTCTATGTAATACTTATGATTTGTAAATTATTTATAGACTGAAATTGTTGATGAAGATAAACGCTTAGTAGCTGCTGTAGACTATTATTTCATTAAAGATGATGGTTCTCGATTCCGAGTCACTCAACCATTTCAGCCATATTTTTATCTTTTAGCTAAAAAAGAATTTGTTCAAGAAGTTGTTGCTTATATAAGTAAGAAATTTGCTGGTAGTTTTACCAGTATTAGTACTGTCAAAAAAGAGGATTTAGATTTGGTAATGATCACACAATATATCTTTTAATATGTTTTATATTTATATTATTTTTTGGTAATCAATATTAATATATATTTTTAGCCAAACCATTTAATAGGTTTACAACAAACATTTATAAAAATTGCATTTGCCACAATCACTGAAATGACCAAAGTGCGGCAGGCTATTATGCCAGCAGTACGTAAAAATCGTTTGGCTTTAAAAAATAATTCTTATTATACAGAAATGTTGACAGAATCTTTAGCTAATCTATCTGAAGTAGTTTCATCAAAAAAACAAGTTGATCACATGGAAAATATAATTGATATCAGGTTAGCTAAACAAATTATACTTTTAAATTTACCTATATCCCAGGGAAGGAATTGTTAATTTTGTATCATTTTCAATACAAGCAAATTGAATTTTGAAATTACAAACTCTTATTCACAAATTAAAACATTATATATACTTATTTAGGTAAAAAAACAAAGTGAGAAAAATTACACTAGAAGAAATTATAAAAAAAGTAAAAAATTGACTAAAGTGCTTTAACTGGGGCCAAAGATATGTATTTACAATTAAGTCAATTACTTAGGTAACTAAAATATAAAGTCCCTATTTAGATCTTTAAATTTGAATTGTATTTAGTAAATTTTACCTTTTTTATATTTTAATTCTAGAAGTTTTTAAAATTTATGAATTCCAAACATTACTGTTAGGCTATACTTTTTTCCTTTGAAAATAAAACCCTAATAAACTCACTTTAGATTCTGAGTTAAACAAAGCAGCTTATGGTTTTACAAAGAAGTTTTTTTTTTCTTTCTGTTTACAACTTCTACCAGAAATCTTGCTCCGATTTATAATAATAGTAATTTTTCTAAAAAGAAATCTGACTGGGAAGGTACTTTAGATAGGTCATTTTTTGATTTTCTCATTAGTTTTACCAATAAATGGGGAAAAACATGGAAAACTGTAAAAATAGGTAAAATATACAATCAAATATTATTAAAGAAAATTTATAATGTACACATGGTACCATAATATGACATATTTATTGTTGAAAAAATATCTACACTATCAACTGAACTCTGCTCAGAATCGTTTTTTCGTTAACAGTGGTTTATTATTGTTTACAGATATACATAAAATTTCCCCCTTCTAGCTTCCTAACTTCTTACCTATAACAGTTTCTGCACCTACATGTGAAGTTGCCCGGTTTTTTAAAAATATTTTTGCTCATTTTCTCATTTGTATTCTAGATACTAACTATAAATTAAATTTTTAGAGAGTACGATGTAGTGTACCATAACCGAGTATCTACAGATCTTAAAATATTTACTGGTTTATGGTATACAGTCCAATGTCGTGGCCCTTATAATCAAGCAAATTTTACAAGACGCGATGACATTATTGATCGACCCGATATGATTGTTATGGCATTTGATATTGAAACAACAAAACTTCCACTAAAATTTCCAGATGCTAACACTGATCAGATTATGATGATTTCATATATGATCGATGGTCAAGGATATTTGATTACTAATCGTGAAATTATATCTAAAGATGTTGATGATTTTGAGTACACACCAACACCAGAGTTTGAAGGTATATAGTCTATTTAACTTTATAACAAAAAAGGGAATTCTTAGAAAAATTCTTCACTTATAGAGTTTTCGTAAAAAGAAATATTTACCGTGCTATTTTTTTTTTTTTGTAAATTAAAAATTAAGTTATTTAGCCAATTTACATTAAAAAGATTTATCCCTAGAATTTTGAAAAGAAATATTAATTGAATAATAATTATTATTTATTACCTGTATAAAGAAATATTTTTAATTTCCTTGTGTGTTTCAGTACATTTTATCTATGGCTATTTTAAAAGTTTAAATCTGCTCTATAATTAATAATATATCTAATATTTGTTAATTTTTAGGTTTATTTACTATATTTAATGAACCTGATGAAGGTGCTTTGATAAATAGATTTTTTGAACATATTTTGGATATCCGACCTCATATAATTGTAACATATAACGGTGATTTTTTTGATTGGCCTTTTGTGGAAACTAGAGCAGCAGTTCATGATTTAAATATGTCACAGGAAATTGGATTTTCCAAAAATGTGGCTGGAGTTTATAGTTGTCGACCAGCTATGCATATGGATTGCTTATGGTAGAATACAAATTTAATTTAATATATTGTTATTATAAGTGTTAAACGTTTTCATTGTGATTCACTATTATATTGTTTAGTTGTAATGTAAATTAATTTTAAACTTTTAATATTACAAAAATTAAATTATTCCTATATCATTTTTATTTTGTGTAATTAAAAATGGAACTTAAAACTAAGTCAATAAATAATAAAGTTGATTTATTCTCTGAACGAAAAATGTACTTACTATATAATTTTATACCCAAAATATATTTTACCTGTACATGTTAATAATATGAGGAATAATGAAAGTCAGCTTGGAATATTTATTTAAAATAATGTTTTATACTATGCATTATTATTATTTATAATCTAACATTTGATTTTTAATATTTCAGTTGGGTAAAACGTGATTCATACCTTCCAGTAGGATCACAGAATTTAAAAGCTGTAGCTAAAGCTAAACTACGTTATGATCCTGTTGAACTTGATCCAGAAGACATGTGTCGACTAGCAACAGATGAACCTCAAGTACTTTCCAACTACTCAGTGTCAGATGCTGTCGCTACTTATTATTTGTACATGAAATATGTTCATCCTTTTATATTTGCTTTATGTACTATTATTCCCATGGAACCTGATGAGGTAAGAACTAAGAATAAATAAACACAATTTTTCTATAATAACTTTATTTAGCGTTCATAAACACATAACTAAATCTAATAATGTATTATTTTATTCATTAAAAAAAATTAAGAACCACAATAACTCTGTAGTTCAGACATATGACATGGTTTGAGACAGCATTCATCAATAATCCTTGATTTAGAACGTAGAAAACGGGATGGTATAAATGACATTGTTCCTCGTTTTGATCGGTATGGATAATCAATAGAATTGTAGTCCTCTAAGTCTTTGTAATCCCAGGCTTCTAAATCTATTTTTATTTTAAAAATAGTTTTAATAATGTTTTAACTATGATTAAAATTTTATAGCTATAACAACTATAGTTGTTAAATCAATTGTAGTAATTAAAAAAAAAAAAAATACAAATTATATCTGTAGAATCTATTGGTGTACTTTTAACTTTTTTTTAATAAATAAGAATATAGTTAATGGTTTATTTTATCCCCCTTTTAGTATTTCACTATTTATATAATCTGAACATTTAACAATTAAATGTTAATACATTTTGACATTTGGTTGATTGCCAATATAAATATTATATTAATTTTAAATATGTGTTGTAATTTAATGCTTTAACAATTTTAACAATGGATATTACTGGAAAGTTAATATTATTTTTAAATATTTGAACAATTACTGAAATCTACAAATACTAGATAGAAGATATACTTGAATATTATGTTTTGTGTTTTCAAAAAGTATCTATGCTAACTACTTAATGCTACTACATTACTTAATGTTTCTAAGTAGAATATTATATAATACTCTATTAAGACAAAATAAAGGCTAAATATTAATTAAATAATCAATAATTAAAAATTACATCTACTATATATAATATAATATAGATATAATAATAATTATATCTACTACTATTATCTATTATGGGTAGTATAATTCCCTGTGAACTTACCCATTTGACTTCTTTTGCCATGTTCATTGTACTTGCCTTTACATACAAGTTTCATCGTGTCTGCTAATCTAGATCCACAATACTGTTGGGGTATTCTAATATTAGCTGTTAAAATTTTGTTGACTAACATCAAAAGAAGTATACTCAAATAAAAAATTATCTTCATTTTATTCTAAAAAAAGTTTAAAAAAGAAAAATTAATAATAATATATTAAGGCCATTTAAAATTTTAAAAAACTTTAAACTTTTAAGTTGTAAAAATAAATATGTACAATTATGAGTTACCCTAATTTTTATACTGAAAAAGTTACAATGCAATTTTCATGAAATATAACAAATTATACATACCTCGATTGATCAAAATATATGAGTATATACTAGTTACTACTAAATTTGTAAAATGAACATCACAGACTGTTTGGGTCCTTATATATGAACCAAATAGCTGTTTTCATATTATGTAGGTGTCCTTAATCTAATCCAGTTATTGTTAATAATTTACATACATCAGGTAATGTTAGGGTGATGATTGGACAAGGGTCAAGATTATCATTTATAGTATGAGAATTAATTAATTTTTGATTGACATATTAAATGCTGTTGGTTATTATTACATTTTACCATTATCCAATTTGGAAACTTAAAGGTAAATCATTTTAATGACATGTCAAAATGTTTAATATTAGAAAATGTTCATTTAGATAAGATAACCAAAGTCATTAGGTAATCAGACACTCCAGCACACATAATTTATCTTTAGTAAAAGTAATAATTTTATTAAAAATATAATTTTAAATTTAAAAAAATGCAGATGCTAAATTCACTTTTAAAAAGTATTACATAAATCAATCTAAGCTAGTTATAGTTTTATTGATTTTTATTATTTGTTCTAATTTAAAGTGATAAGGTAAAGCTCTTGAAAATTAGTTATTTAAGGTAATTTAGTTTAACAATTTGATAATCTAATTTAAAATAGATCATTTAAATGGTTTTAAATATTTTCATTGTGCACATACATGGATGTATTAAATATCTTTAACTATTCAAATAATTTGATGTTAATTCACTATTAAAATGTCTATGTTTATTTACTGTGTTTTTTTTTAGTGTGCCCAAGCAACTTTTAAACTAGAAAACTTGCTCTGATGCATCAAGTGTAGCACCTTTTCTGAATACAAATTTTCTCTAGTTGATGCATCAGTAGGTCATTTGTTTGATTTTCAATGGGTTTTCAAAATAATTGGGAAACACTGAAAATAAAATTATAGCTATAATTGCGAATATTGAAAATGCACCGGGGTACTAACAATTTCATTATGTTTAACTTTTGCAAACTATATTTTCTACCAGAAATATTGCTCCAATAAAAAACGACAAGAAATCTATTTTGTTGCATTTTTGTTTTAGTTGTTGACTTTAGAAGTCGTTTTTTGATTTTTTGTGTACTTTTTTAATAATTGGGATAACTGAGAAAAAAAAAATTAGAAAGAACAAGAAAATTTACAAAAATAATGATTTTTTTTTTTTAAATTTAGTTTTTTCATGTAATTTAGCTAAATATATTTATAGATATTTAAATTTTTGACAGAAAACTTGTATTTATTTTGCTAGCCATAGTCAAATTTTCAAATCTTTTGAGCTATTTATAGAAATTTTTATTTTGTGAATTTTGCTTATAATTTTTATTTGGTAGGTACTGTGTGTATAAAATTGTTAGACTATACAGAAATTCTTGAAAATTTAATAGGATTTAATTTAATAGACATACATATTGGTAAAAAAAAAAAATATAAAATGCAATGTAGTAATTTTTTTTTATATAATTGTTTTACATTTTACGACTTTTCTAACTTATGTAATCAAACTTTGTTCTGAATAATTTATTGTTAGCAATGGTTTATTGTTTCTTACAGTTCGAAATTAAAAAACTTTATTTATCCTACTTTCCAGAATTCCCACATACAACAGTGGCACACCTATCCCCAGATCAACTCTTTTTATACATATATATTATTATTATTATTATTTTAAGTTGAGATTTTAACTTACAAATAATTGAATATTGTTTTCTCAATACACAATATACATAGGTTATTTCTAGAGTTTTTTCCTACCTACCTAGCTTTGTAATTAAAAAAAAGCTATACAAATCTGGGGAAAAAAATAATTAATAATCATAATTTAATTCTTTTTATTTCAAGTTTTTGAATATATAGGAGAAAGATTATACATTCATAATATAAATTCATGTATTTTGAAAGTATATTTTGTTAATAGTTTGATAATGCTCAAGCTCTTTTTTTTTTTTACTGTCTAGTACATTTTAACACGTACGAGTAAATTTCCTAACTATATATTAATTAAAACCATTAGGTTATAAAATGTATTTACATAAAAAGTAATTGTTCCAAAAATTCACAAGTTTAATGTAAAACCAAATTTTCTACTAGTTTATTCTATAATTTTTTGTATAAATATAATTACATTATTTATCAATGAATATTTACATAAAGTTATTTTAATTTGTAGGTTTTAAGAAAAGGTTCTGGAACTTTATGTGAAAGTCTTTTGATGGTTGAAGCATTTCATGCAAATATTATTTTTCCGAATAAACAAGAACAAGAGTTAAATAAAATGAGTGAAGATGGTCATGTATTAGATCAAGAGACGTATGTTGGTGGCCATGTAGAAGCTTTAGAGTCTGGCGTATTTCGGGCTGATATACCTTGTAGATTTAGATTAGATACATCAGCTTTTGATATGCTCATAGAGAAATCATCAGAAATACTGAAGTTTGCAATTGAAGAAGAAGAAAAAGTCTCTATGGATACTGTCACAAATTTAAATGAAATATTGGAAGATGTTATTAAAAAATTAGAAGCTCTAAAAGCTGATCCTTATCCATCTTTAAGTCCTCTAATATACCATTTAGATGTTGGTGCTATGTATCCAAACATAATACTTACGAACCGATTGCAGCCTTCAGCTATGGTTAATGATGAAATTTGTGCAGCTTGTGACTTTAATGTCCCAGGTGCTAAATGTCAAAGAAATATGACTTGGCAGTGGAGGGGAGAACTGAGTATGTGTAAAACCATTGATATTTCTTATTAAAACCATTATTAATTTATATAATTATTTTTTAGTGCCGGCTTCACGAACAGAATTTCAACGTATTCAACAGCAATTAGAGACAGAAAAATTTCCTGGTCAGTATCCTAATGACCCTCCTCGAGCTTTTCATCAGCTTAAACGAGATGAGAGAGCTGCCTGGGAAAAGAAACGTTTAACTGAATATTGCCGTAAAGTATATAGAAAAACTCATGTTACCAAAATTGAAGAACGTACTACAACTATATGTCAAAAAGAAAATTCTTTTTACGTTGATACTGTAAGGGCATTCAGAGATAGACGTTATGAGTATAAGGGACTTTGTAAAGTTGCTAAAAAACAAATATCTGAAGCTATAGAAAAAGGTGATCCTGTTGAAATTAAATCAGCTAAAAACCGTGAAATATTGTATGATTCATTACAATTAGCGCATAAGTGTATCCTTAATTCATTTTATGGATATGTTATGAGAAAAGGGTAATTAATTATTATGTTATTTTAACATTATTTATATATAATATATTTTGATTAAGTAAATTAGTTAACAAAAATGTAAGAAATAGTTCTTTATTTCTGCTCTTAAAATATTTAAATAATTTCACAAAAAGTTGTGTTTAAGTATGGTTGTATATTCATATAATGATTAATAATTTAATAAATAAATTATAATATAAAGCTGTTATTACAAGTTCTGAACTACAACAAGATTTTTAAAATAAACAATTTTGTGACAGATAATAAATTATATTTTTTCCTTATATAGAAAGTATATTATATAATAAATTTAAATATTGTTTTTTATTTACAGTGCACGTTGGCATAGTATGGAAATGGCTGGAATAGTTTGTTGTACAGGTGCTGCTATAATTACAAAAGCTCGTGAAATAATTGAAAGAATTGGCCGGCCCTTAGAATTAGATACTGATGGTATATGGTGTGTACTTCCATCAACATTTCCTGAAAATTATACTGTTAAATCTACAAATCCGAAAAAATCTAAATTTACTATATCCTTTCCAAATGCAGTTTTAAATTCAATGGTCAAAGTTCGTTGAATACATTTTTATGTAATTATTGTTTAAAAATAATAATTAAATATATACAAATTCTTTTTAGGAACATTTTACTAATCATTACTATCATGATTTGGTTGATTCAGAAAAACTTATTTATAAACAAAGAAGTGAAAATTCTATTTTCTTTGAAGTTGATGGTCCATATTTAGCAATGGTTTTACCAGCTTCTAAGGAAGAAGGGAAAAAGCTAAAAAAGCGATATGCTGTATTTAATTTGGATAAATCATTAGCCGAATTAAAAGGGTATAGTAAACTTTTTCACAATATCTACTACATAATATCTTACACTAGATGTTAATGAGTACTTATAATATTAATATGTATTTAATGTTCAATATAGATTTTAAATTAATTTAAAATTTTCCATTATATAATACAATATTATAATAGTATATAAAATAGTAATAGAATATATTCCTTATAACTATATTTTAATTAAGTTTAATAAATTGTATATTAACTTTTTATAGTTTTGAAGTTAAAAGACGTGGAGAACTTCAAATAATAAAGATTTTTCAATCATCGGTGTTTGAAGCATTTTTAAAAGGTGATACATTAGAAAAATGTTATGAAAGTGTCGCAACTGTTGCTGACTATTGGTTAGATGTTTTGTATTCAAAGGTAAGTTTAAAATAATTTATTTTTAAAATTTTTATGATGATTGATTTAAAAATATAAATTTAGGGAAAAAATATGCCAGATTCTGAATTGTTTGAACTAATATCAGAGAATCGTTCTATGAGCCGTAAACTTGAAGAATATGGAACTCAAAAATCTACTTCTATTTCAACTGCTAAACGACTAGCTGAATTTTTAGGTGATCAAATGGTCAAAGATAAGGGGCTTGCTTGTCGTTTTATTATATCTAAAAAACCAGAAGGCACTCCAGTAACTCAAAGAGCTATACCACTAGCTATATTCCAATCTGAGTTGAGCATAAAGAGACATTATTTAAGAAGATGGCTTGCTGACAATTCAATAGATGATATTGATATACGTGATGTACTTGATTGGAATTATTATATAGAACGTTTAAGTGGTACAATTCAAAAAATTATAACTATACCAGCAGCTTTACAAGGAGTAAGTGAAATTACTAATTACTTTTAAAATAAGTTGTTATAATATTAAAAAAAAAAAATTATTAATATTTAGGTTTCCAATCCTGTCCCAAGAGTCAAACATCCTGATTGGCTACACAAGAAAATGCTAATGAAAGCTGACCCGTTAAAACAAAGAAAAATAACAACAATGTTTCAATCGAAACCATTAAATGTTCAGGAACATTTGTTTGAACAACCCACATTAAATGATATAGAAGACTTTGGTGAAAATGTAGATGATAATTTTGTTGAAATAAGACCAAGACCTATAGTAACTAAGAAGCGTAAACGTGATATTTCACCTATTGATGCTAGAAATTGGAGAGAGGCTTTAGGACCTCCACCACCAGCTACTGATATTAAGGTTTACATAAGTTTACTATAATATAATAAAATATTTATTAATTTGTATAAATTGAAATATATGTATTTTTTAATTATAAGTTAATTATGAATACATGTATGAATTTATATTTATACACAGGTTTTTTTTTTACAATATTATTTAATTATATATATATTATATTATGTTAATTTATCATTTTTTAGAATTGGATTGTGTATCAAAAGAAAAAGTGGAAATGGCAACTTGAAAAGAGGTCAGAAATAATGGGTAATCGCGAAAAACGTATGCGAGATGATCATGTACAAGTGCCTAAAGGACGTGCTGGTACATTAGGAGGATTTTTAAGACGAGCACAACAAACATTACTAAGTCAACCATGGCAAATTATACAAATATATCAATCCGGTGAACCTGGTTTATTAAAAATTTGGGCTATGATTGGAGATGAGTTACACAATATTCGAATGAATATACCTAGAGTCTTTTATGTTAACCAGCGACAAATTGAGATAGATGATAATGAAAAACACATTTCTTGTATTAAAGTCAATATGATATTACCAAGAGCCCGACCAATTTTAAACTTGTATAAGTATACCATTATGGAAAAATATTTTAATGAAACCAAAGAGTAAGCTATTTCTCAATGTTTTGATTTTTAAATTATTTAGAACATGAAATTTATTTATTTAGTAATTTGATGGGTAACTTATCCAAACCGGGCATTGAAGGACTGTATGAAACCAAAGTTACCCCAGAATTAAGAGCTTTATTAAATCTTGGATGTGTTTGCTCTGTCTCATTGGAAGCAGCAAAAAAAATGGCTGCATTGCCTGATCTTGGACATTTTTCACTAGAACAAATGAAACAAACTTCACATAAATATTTAATAAAAGTGAGTGTACATTTTGTATGGTTTTTAACATGAAATAATTAATTATATTTTTATTGATAGAGTTCTATAAAAGATATATTTTTATATGTCAATAAAGCCCCTACTGGCATACGTGCTATGTATTCACTGTTTTTAACACCTAATAAAAAGGCATTTGTGTGGGTTATAGACACAGTTCGTACAAATCGTATGGCAAATTTGAACACATTATATGGCAAAGAACATGCTAATAAGTATATATTTAAATTTCAGTATTTTTTATATTAAATAATTTTTTTATTGCATTATATTTATTTCATTTTAACTTAGAATTTCTCGTGGACATAATGAATCAGATATCCCCCCGTCCGATATAGTTTTTGAAGTTAGAGTAGAAACAGAAGAAAGACAAGTTTACAGACAAATTCAAAGAACTCTGCAATCATACAGAGATGAAAAACGAGGACCTACAATGCTAGTTATTCAATCCCCAATAGGTAAAATATACATTTAAATTTGTTATTGTCAAATGCATAATATGGTATTTCATTGTAGATAATCGAGTATTAATTTCCAATATTCCAATAATGACTGAATTCCCGTTGGTAACTCTTCATGTTCAAGATTCAACTGATTCAATGTATTCTCAAATGGAATGGCAACGTTTAGGTTGTAACCTGATTGTTCAACATTTTTTAAATAGTCTAGAAAACAAAAATTTAATGTTAGAACAATGCAGATATTTACAAATACCCCTTGGAAATTTACCAGCTGATGTAACAATGTTTGCCTCTGATATATTTTTTGCTAGACATTTAATGAAACACAATTTTGTGTTATGGATCTCAGAAACTGACAAACCTGATTTAGGTGGACGTGAAACTGATGACAATAGGTAATTAGTACATTTTACTAAATTATTATAACTAAAATTGAATTGAATCCCTTTAATTAAATGTATAAATAAAATACTTATATTTCTTTAAATAATTATTTTATTAGAATGTTAATGGACTCTGAAGAAAGTTCAAGTATGCTTGTCAATAGTGAAGGTTGCTATACTTCGTATTGTATCGAGCTTGAAATTGATGCTCTTCCAGTGACAACTCTATTACAATCTCATCATATTCATGATTTTGAAGGTTAATAATTAAAATTATGACAGGAATTTTCTTTATTTATTTGACAAAATTATAGACTTTATACTTATAGACAGTATCTCAGTGAGAACTTTCAGTTGGATGCAGGTTGTACTTTCAGGTTGAATTCTGATATCAACGCTTTATAATAAGACTACTAGAACTATATACATGCTTAATCTAAGAATATAAGGTCCATGGAAAAAATATGTACAATAATAGTTGTGATGTATTTAATTTATGATAAACTAAATAGTTCAAAAGAAATTCAAGCTTATAAAGATAATTACAGTTTTTAGTTTTCACTTTGTGTTATATCATAGCTTTAATTATGCTTATTAAAATAATTATTGAACATTTTTTCTACTTATAAGTATATAAATAATTTAGACTATTTTTAACAAATTATTTTTCTATTTAATATGTTTAGTTATAATAATCATGGAGATTAGGCTAAATATATTTAGTATCAAAATAAAGTTAGTTTGTTAAGTAAAATTATTTATTTAATTTTATTATTTGTATATTTTAGGTGCAAGTACAGGTATTGCATTTGATCAAATTCCTCAAGCTTCTCTCGAAGAAATAATGGATGGTGGAACATTTGTAACACCAACCTATGATGAAATAGCATTGTGTTCAGCCGCATTTAGAGTTTTACGGTCAATGGTAAATGTTTGGTTTCGTGATGTTGTATTGCATAAAAATCCATATGCAGATTTTCAAATGGTACATTTCTATAGGTATTTATAAAATCTTGCATAATACATAGTTTAAATGTTGACTTAATCATATTATATAATATTATAACCTTTTATTTTATTAACATTATTTTTTTTAGGTGGCTTAGATCGCCCAATGCATTATTGTATGACCCAGCATTACGTAAAACACTTTATAGTTTGATGAGAAAACTTTTTATGCAAGTAAATATAATTGAATAGTGATATGAAACACTTTAAATATTTGTAAAAATATATATTGTATTATAAAATACTGCATAAAAATAGAATATTTAACATCTTTTTTAATATTTTACAGTTAATTGCAGAATTTAAACGACTTGGTTCTTCTATAATATTTGCTAACTTTAATAAAATAGTGATTTGTACAAAAAAAAAATCATTAGAAGATGCAATATTTTATGTGCGTTATGTCGTTCAGAATATTACCAACAAAGAATTGTTTCACTGTTTACAAATATCTTTAGGACCATGTTGGGAATATTTAATGTGGTTAGATTCGGTAAAACTAATTTATATAATAAATAATATTCAAATATCTATCAGTTTTTGTTTTTTTTTAACATTGAATTTGTATCAACAGTGGAATTATTCTGGCGTAAAAGCAAAATTTTCTAATAGACTAAAAGAAGCAATGATAAATATAATTGATATGTCAAATGAAGATGTCGAAGAACTCCTTAAAGAACACAACACCCCTGAATTAGATATTGAAGAAGTAATAATAGGTTTCATTGAAAAATTAGAAACTTTAATTTATTTTAATCAATTATTTTAAGGTGGGAATTGAAATGAATTGGAATATATCAGAATTTTTACCTAATGTATGCCATGCTCGTAAACATTTTGAAGAAATAATTGCTCTATATATAAGTGCTATTTATAAGCATATGCAGTCAATTGATTCTGTGACACAGAAACGTATTTCAGAATCACTATCACAAGTTACCCAAAGTAACATGCTTGGGGTAGCAGCTTGTGAAAGCGTTGCAAAATATGCTAAAACTATAATTGCGGAAGAACTTACCACTAAACTTTTTACGTATATAAAATAAAATTGTTTTTTTTTTTATACAATTATAACTTAACTATAATATTCTTTTTTATATTTTAGAATAACACAAAAAATTCATAAAAAATATCCAGTTTTGGATGTTGAACTTCAAGAAACACTTTCACCATTTTTACAAAATAAAGGAAAACATTTGATTCCAGCTTTACAATTTGTTAAGACTGTCTGTAAAGTGAGTAGTTTACTTTTTAAATTTGTATAATTAATTTATTAATTAATTATGTGTGTCATATATTATATTATTATTATTGTAGGTACTTTCTCTAGATTTTGGAGTAGAAGATGATATTATGAAACTAAGAAGAAATCTGTTACGTTTAATCAATGTTGGAGATTTTAGTGATGAAGCTGATTGGATAGATCCTTGTCTCTCTTGGACACTACCTGAAGTAATCTGTAAAGGTTGTAATCATTGTCGGGACATAGATTTGTGTAAAGATTCTTATCGGAGTGTTGTTAATGGAAAGTATGTTCTAAAATAATAATATTTTATGTAGGTTGAATAAATAGGATAAATAACAAACAAAATTTGAACATTTAACATTTTATATGAAAACAGAAAGTGTCGCTTATCTGCAATTTTTTAAAAATGTTTTTAAAATACAGCGATTTCCGCTTAATGTGATCACAATAGTTCAGGTCATTTTGATTATATTAACTGTTTCTATATTTTTTACGTAAACTTAAAATAAAATGTACATTGTATCTGTAACTTTTGGAATATAAAATTAAAAAGTAATATAAATACATAACTATAATATAAATGTTAGGAATGCACCAAAAAGTGATTCGAATAAAAAGTTAATTTAACATTATTAACATAAGATTTGGTTTGGGATTTTTCATTTTTGATTCCAATAAATAGTTGATTCTATAAACTAGTGATCACATTAAGCAGAATGCCACTGTATTAAAATTGTATATCATTATACAGGTTGTCCTGAATTATACTTTATAGTGGTAATGCAGTGATTTAATTATACTAATAATAAAAATATTTAAATATATATCAGTACATTGAATTATTTTTTTTAGAAAGACATGGTTGTGTCCAAATTGCAATAGTAATTATGATAATTTGCTGATCGAACACTTTTTAATTGATGCCCTTGGTAGAAAAGTAATGGCATATACTCTTCAAGATTTGCAATGTACAAAATGTTCAGAGGTATGTATTTACATATTTTTGATAAATCTACATACTAGTTATTATTTTTTTTACAGATAAAAATGGAAAATCTAAATGCCTATTGCTCGTGTGCTGGTGATTACACAACAGTAATATCCAAAAATGATTTGATGTCATATTTAAAGACATTTAAGGCGATTTCTGAGTATTATGATATGACTCTACTAAAGGAAATGTTATTACAATATTTAAACTAAACTTATTATTTATCTGTTTGAATTATTAAGATCTGCTATAAGTATTATATTTTTTATGTGCACCAATTTTTGAATATTCAGTTGTATACATTCCAGGCACTGGTAATATTCGACTTGAAGTCGGATTCTTTGAAATGGATGTTGGCATTTCAGCAATGCTTTCATATTGTGATAATGTATTATTTGGTATTTTATAAGAATCTGACATAAGTGTTCTAAGACCACTATAAAACAAACATATTTATTTAAGATTTATTAACAAAACAAAATTTAAATCTGTATTACTTGTGTGAAACATGTTTAAATGTGTTTGGCAATAAATAAATAGTATTTTTACTATTAAATATTGGTTCATTATAAAATGATCTATATTCTGGCATCATTTTGTTTTGTTTTTGTTGTTTAGAATTTATTTGTTCTTCTATAATCTAAAATGGTATTTTAAATGTCAGTATGTAAATATTATTTTTTAATTTTATAATATAGGCCATAATAGCCAATTTTTTAATACTTACACATAGTTTTCTTTTTCCAATTACATCCCTATAACTAATTTTTGGTATTGACGTTGAGGGAATTTCTTTATGAACATCCAATTGTTTTGGTTGGAACTAGTTTTAAAAACAATAATTTATTTTTATACATATTTTTATTTTTTTTTTATGGTTCTTACACATGAGATTGATGTTTGATTAACATTTGACATAAATTTGGGTTGCATAAATGTCTTTTTATATTCAGTTTGTGATGTCCTCGTTGGTTTTGGAAAATTTGACCAATACTATAGAAAAATATTATTATCCTAGGTATAGAAAAATGTTTTATCATTATGCAATATACTTTTTCCCAATGAGGCATTAAATATTGAATTTGATCACTACAATGTACTCTAGCTGCATTTTGCCCTGGATCCATAATATTAAATTTAAAATCATAACTAATATTTGTGGTTGTTTCATAATTCCAATGTTTTAATTTTGGATTATTCGGCATAAATTCTTTTCTACTATTTAAACCTGTTACCTATATTTAAAATTATTTTTTTATTTTTATTTTACTTTTATTAGATTTACTACTACTAACAATAAAATAAAATTTAAGTAATTTATAAAACTAAATAATTTAGTATTTTTGTTATCGTGTGATATACAAAATTCTATATTTAATATATTTAATGTTATAATAATTTAAGGTTATAATGTAAATAAACTTACATTACTGTCCAAGGTTTCAATTGGTAAAAATGTATGAGCTGCTTTGTAAGATGTTACAAAAGTATCATTATGGTTCATCGTGTAGAAGCATTAAAATATTATATCGGAATTCGTATAGTGTGTGACATACAATATTTAGTCTTTAATCTCTTGAACTGTAACCAAGAAAGGCACCAAATTAAAATATGGTACAGATCAACAATTAATAAAAATTATATTTTATTTTAATATTGACACAAAATTTATTATAAATTTAATAGAAATCAAAATTATTTAGCAATTAAATGTATGTATTTGAAATGTACCTATTATTTTGTATTTATTACGTGTACAATGTACATGACAAATAACTCTGTAGAGCACACTATAAGAATGCTAGTTTATAAAATATTTTAATAAATAATGAAAACATAATTTGCGTACATTTGATGTTACATGAGAATGGTTTTCAACCTTTTTCGAATCAAAACCACCCTTAATTTTTTTTTTACTTAAGACAACCTCAAAAATTGTTTAATAGAATTTGAATTCTATAATGTACGGTATACATGATACTTATGATTGTTTTGTCAACTCCCCCAACACTAGTCTTAACTCGTGACCTCTAGGTTTAAAACTACTGTTACCTATTGGGTTTCCTAGGATACAATTATTTTGAATAACAATAACATCAAACAAATAATCTATTATGTACCTAGTCGGGCTATTATTGAAATTAAATATTTTTCTCTCAGTATTATAAAAAGCTATCCTTTGCACTGTTATAGGCAGTGGCATATTTCTGTTTTCTCCTCCTATAGGCACTTTTTCATTCCATCTAAAATTATTTATAAATATATTCAAACAGTTTTTCGAATATACCTAAAGTACCTACCGCCACCTGTAAGATACAGCATGAGAAAATTGAAGCATATCGATTGTTCAAAGTTTTTTCCCCCGGGAGGAAGGGACACACACAAACTTGTGAAACTAAAAATTTATCTTCGATCAGAATCGAAAATAAATAATTTTTTTATTCGTATCAATCAGACAGACACGACAATCATTTCAACGTTTAGAAATAATTACATTAGGTTGAGGTCACCAATTGTATACGGCCGCTTTGAGCATTTTCTTTTTCAAAGTAAAAAAGGACGGACGTACTTCGCACGTGGGCCGAGCTACTGTTGTAGTTGGGAAGGTTAGATACAGACAGGAATTTAATGTATATCTGTAAGCAACGATAAAACACTGCTAACGAAAAAACGATTCTGAGCGGAGTTCAGTTGATAGTGTTGCTTTGTCAACAATATATGTCATACTAGATGAATAGCCTGGCTTCGCCCGTGTGCAGTTTTTTTTATGTTACCTACCACTTTTATTTACCAGTTTTTATATAAAAGTTATAGGAAAAGGATATTCGTGTTGAAAGTGCTAGCTGTCTACCGCCCGGCATTGCCCGTGTCATTTTTGAATTTTTTTTATCTTTATTTTCGATTTGCTTAGTATATTGGATGGGACAAAAATAAGTGGATATTAAAGGTCCGGTCAAACAGAAAGCGGACTGTCTGCGTGGCCAAGTCGCCGGTCAACCGTGAACTAGTCCGCCGGTCCGCTGATAGTCAAACAGAATGCGGACAAGTTTGAGCAAACCAGTTTGAAAACTGCACAAAAGTGTACTGCTGGTTATTTTTGATTTTTACTTTTTTACGTTTTCTGTTTTCATATTACAAAATATCAAGCAGTTCTTCCGACGAAGAAGAATTGCTTCTTTTGCTTGCTTTAAGTTAAGCAAGAAGAAAAAGAATAAAATAAGTACATGAAATAAACCAAAAAAAGAAAGAATTCGGAGAGTTTCGCCAACTGTGCAGTGAATTGAGTTCTTTTGAAGACAGATTTTTTACATATTATTGAATGTCTCGAGAACAGTTTGAGAATTTACATACTCTTTTAGATAATAAAATATCGTAGGATATTCCGTGTATTGTCTATTATTAATTTAATTGAAGATAATTTTAATTCTAATATTAGAATAATATTATAGTTTACTAGTATAGTATAGTAATAATATGATATATTTTTTTTAATTATGGATACATTTTATTATATTATTCGGGTCCGTCGCGAACTTTGTGAAAAAATACAACCCGTTTGTCGGACTACACAAGTACGCCGCTGTCTCTTTTAAAGTACGGTCAAACAGAAAGCGGGCTGACCGCGCTGCCTATCGCGGGCACTGTATTATCTTTGATTGCATCATAGTGGTTAAAAATAGCGCGGGCTGCCGCGGCGGACTGCTGTCAACCGCAGCGGGCAGCGGTCTAGTTGTAATAATGTACAGTGATCGCGGCGGACAAAAATTATTATTATAAAATTGTATGCAATATTATATACTATGGCAGACGAAACTAAAAAATTAATAAATCTCGTTCGTAACTATGTGTATTTATATGACACCAGTCATTGTGATTATAAAAACATAGTAAGAAAAGCAGAGAAGTGGAATGAAATTGCCGGGATACTCAACCTTTCAAGTAAGTAAAAATAATTATCAAATTATGAATATTATCAAAAAAAAAAAAAAATAAAGTAGAAAACGTTTTGTTTAGTTTTTCATTAGTTTATTAAGTAACAATATAATTATTATTATTACTATTACTATTATTTGGGAAAAAAACTAAAAGTGATACAATTTTGAAATGTATCTAAGACATGATTATGAATTAATCAATAGTTTAGTTATGTAAATAATTGAAATAATTAAGGAAGTTTTCTCTAACAGAAGTGACTGCATTACTAGATCTCTCTCTTACTCGTTAAGTGTTTGAAAACGCGCTATCTGCAGACGAAATACTCTCTTCTTCCAACTCATCTGTTGTGGCTATTGTTGAGGTAATTCTAAGATAATTGTGTAAACAACAAGCTGCCTTGACGACATGTTCTGCAGCATCTACATCCAATTTCTCTATTGGTCTAAAAAAAACTCGCTACTTTTAGGCTAAAATACCAAAGGCATTTTCGACTACACGCCGTGCTCTACTAAGTCGCTTATTGAACACTTTTTTTGCTTCGTCTTATGCAACTACAGCTCTAGGAAAGGGGCGCATTTAAAAAGTTTCGAGATTAAAACCTTCATCTCCGACGAAAACATGAGGGACAGGGGTGTGGTTGTTCCAGGTAAAGGTTTTGGTGGTAAAATAGTTTTGCCACGTACGAGAACTCACGATAAAATGATGAATTTTCAAAAATACTACTATCACTATGACGACCATAACTGCCAATATCAATAATTAAAAACTTGTAATCGGGATTTACTATGCCAAGCAGAGCTATTGAAAAAAAATGTTTGTAGTAAAAAAAATTTGACCCGGTCTTAGGAGGACATTTTATTCTTATATGCTTTCCATCTATGCTACCTATACAGTTAGGAAAATTCCATCGCTCTCTGAATCCAATTTCTGATTGTTTCCAAACTTCTTCTATAGGTGTAGCCAAATATAGTGGTTGTAAAACATTCCATAGCTCTACACATACTTCTTTCACAATACTAGAAACAGTAGTGCGTCCGACTTAGAAAGAAAATGCTATTGTGTGGTGCGATCCTCCTGTTGCCAAATATCTGAAATAATAAGTAGAGTCAAATAGATGGTTCAAAGTCAGGAGCAGGAGCAGGGAGCAGGAGTCATCCACCTATTCATCGACCTATTTAGCCACGGCCCCTTTATTTATTTTTTTTCAAATTTTATCTTTTGCCATCCACCAAGTAGACGACCTATTTTGACCACGCCCACTTTTTTTATTTATTAACATTATTTTTTTTTCTCGAATATTATTTTCTATACCTATGGAAATATGGATCGCTTACGCGAAGTCGTCGCCCCTCCCCATACCCACCACTATACATGCACATACATACTATCACCGCACAAGTGTTCGCAGCTATTATCAGTTATCATAATCATTATCANTTACCACTAACATTATCACATATAGGTACTCGAAAACAATAATTATCAAATATTATTTTTATTATCGTCCGCGTCTTCGAACGTCGAGTCGGTATATAATATAACTAGCTGAATTACCCGGCGTTGCCCGGAAAAATAATTATACGACACTTGCCCGTAAATGAGGCGCATGTGAGACGGTGCTATACATGTGACACGAAAGTGAATAAAAACAACATGAACCGTCTCCCTCCACATGCAAAGCACGGTGAGGTACCATGACACCACGAACGTCGATGATCTCCATGTGTTTACGGGCACCGTATATTATAACAAAAATGTATAATAAAATAATATAAAATTATTATTGTAAATATTTTAGATGTTACGCGTGTCCGAACTACCGGTAGTACGGAGTGCAAACGAAATGAACGTGTTAAGTGTATACGCATCGTGGCAAGGCAATGGAGAGATAACTAATAAATAGTATTGGTTTATGTTATCGGTGTGCATTTTAATTTAATCGTTCATTATAATAAAATAGGATTATTGGTGTACGCGCGATGCATGAGATTATTTTTATCGATAAACTTCTCGGAACAATTATTCGTATCTACACGACGACGAACAAAAAGGATAGGTTGCAGGTAGCTGGAGACCCGCGGACCGCTGTGCCGCACAATACGTAATTGGCGGTGAATAATTATAATTGTTAATTACTCCACTAAAACGCAACATTTTTGAAAATCCCTCCTCATGGCACGGTGAAAATATGAGAAGAACCTATATTCCAAATTTCAAGTCCGTACGTTACGTAGTTTTCGAGATACAGCGATCAGTCAGTCAGTGGTATTTGAATTTTATATGTATAGATAGATACATATCAGATGTTTTCATCGGCCGGTCGCCGAGTGTTAATGTCGCGTGTGCCAGTATTAAAATCTGTTTGATGATTTACCGCCCGAGTCGAAAATGACGATAAGTCGTTTTCTACGTAATCAAAATAATAGCTCTACGAGTAATAATTATGTCAATTTTTATTATACTGGACCTAAATTGTATCCGTTATGGATATATTCGCGTATATACGATGGGACCTTTTGATGTATGTGCTCAAAGACAATAACACCTAACCGCCCGCGGGTCCCTCATCGCCCAACCTACTAAATCTACCCGCTTGCGGTCCCTCATCACCCGAACATCCGTGAATTATTCGATAGTCGACATTTACCTATAGAAATTTATGATAAAGACGTATAATCCGATAATTGACATATATAATACATCCCTGATCACGAATATCGGTCAGTAGTATTTTTTCTACACACACGTATACACCTTGTCCTCTATAATATTTTATTTTCCGCCGTTTTTGTAAGAGCGATAATTGTTTCAGTTTTTATAGAACTTGTTATATTTTTTGTCATAAATTTTTATTTCGATATAAAAATGAATACATTCACATGTACATTCGTCGGTTGTACTAAAGTTTTTTCCTTGAACCGTAATATGATACGCCACGCTAAAGCCCACGAAGGTGTAAAATTTCAGTGCGCACTATGTCTAAAAATGTTTTCACGACAAGACAGTTGGGCTACCCACGTTAAAATTGTTCACCACGAAGGAAGAGTCGCCGCACCGGCTTTCACCCCTCAGGCCGGACCGTCAACCGCCCCGCAGAATACTGTAGCCCCGACACCTGTCGCCGGCTCATCGAAAACACAATGGACAACGGACGAGGAGGACGATAAACTTTTTATGGACTTTGATATGGACATTGACAACAGTAAATTTTTTTTATTTTACCCCGCCACATAAATAGTATTATAGGTAGTTTTAATTTTATTATTCGCGTAACATAATATTTCTCGATCGAGTCATTTATTATATTTTATATTAGTTTTTGGAATTATTTTATTTTTCTTCTCTATTTTTATATCCATTTTTGATAGACCCGTATGAAGAATCAAATTTTACTTAGGTTTTTTTTTTCTGATAGTAACGAAACGTAAGAACGTCGAAACTGCTGCGAAGGTTAAGAAAGCTAGGTTGGAGTTAGTTAATTCACCTGGATTCACGGAAATCTATTCTTCTCACTCGAGGAAGATCGTCTGGTATTATACCAAAAACTGGAAGTCACATATTATAAACCACAAATACAGAATTCAACCGAGAATAGAGCTTTTAAGACCTCAACCAGGTCAATATTTTTCGACAGCGAGATTGAAGACTAAGTTGAAGAAAAATTCAGTAAATTGTTAAAGGAGGAGGAAACGTACCAAGGACGGGGTAGCGGCTTTTCGGTACAGAGTATAGACGGTCTATTAGGTGTATATAAATATACACCTATGGGAGGCTCTTCGTATATTCCGCTACCTAACGATATTATGAATAAACGAGCTATAATCAACCCGCAAAATACTGACGAGAAATGTTTTAAATGGGCGATTATAGCGAAGCACGTTACAGGAATAAATACAGAACGGGTCAACGAAAATTACACTGTACATGAGACGAAGTATAATTTTAATAATTTATCTTTTCTGACACCGCTTGATGAAGTGAAAAAATTCAAGAAAAATAATATCAATGTTTCCGTCAACGTTTATGGACTGAAGAAAGAAGAAAAAAATAAAACTGAATACTGTATTTCCATTGAAAGTGGTTGAGGATGAGAAAGACGATAATTTCGACCTACTCTTAAAAACTATAATTAATAAATCGCACTATACATATATCACAAATTTTTCCCGGCTCGTTCGATCGCAAAAAACTCTTTGCGCGAATCAAGTGATTTTCTGTAAACGGTGTTTCACCTCGTTCTACAATCAAAAACTTAGAAATAATTTGTGTGGACAAGAAGCGCTTGATCAACATTAATCGATATGTGGAGCACACAAACCCATTTTACCATCTCTTCCACCAGCGGATACTACATTGTGTTTCGAGGCTTGGAGCAAAACACAGCGCCAACCATTCGTTATCTATACCGATTTCGAAGCGATTTTGGAACCGGGGGATGATAAGCGGGGGATGAATACCACAGTGGTTGGTCACCGCGAACCCATAGCTCATGGGTTTGTGGTGAAAGCCTCGTATGACGTTAGTAGTATAAAATAGATGGTTCTTACTCAGGAGCAAGGAGCAAGGAGCAAGAGGGAGCAAGGAGCAATACTTTAACACGGCCGCCCGATTTGTCCACCACGTACTCGACGTATTTAGACCACGCCCACTTTTTTTATTTATTAACATTATTTTTTTTCTCGAATAATATTTTCTATACCTATTGGATCGCTTACGCGAAGCCGCCGCCCCAACCCCATAACCACCACTATACATGCACATACATACTATCACCGCAAAGTGTTCGCAGCTATTATCATATTCATTATCAGTTACCACTAACATTATGACATATAGGTACTCGAAAACAATAATTATCTCGATTTTTATTATCGTCCGCGTCTTCGAACGTCGAGTCGGTATACAATATAATACATACCAGATGTTTTCATCGGTCGGTCGCCGAGTGTTATTGTCGCGTATGTTAGTATTAATATCTGTTTGATGATTTACCACCCGAGTCGAAAATGACGATACGACCTTTTCTACGTAATCAAAATAATACGAGTAATAATTATCTCGATTTTTATTATACTGGACCTAAATTGTATCCGTTATGGATAATATACGCGTATATACGATAAGACCTTTTCATGTATGTGCTTAATGAAGATAACACCTAACCGCAATAAAACCATTACTCGGGTTGACCGTCACCGCGAGCATTGTGTATTATCTATCCGCCCAACCTACTATATCTACCCGCCCGCGGGTCCCTCATCACCCGAACATCCGCGAGCATTATGAATTATCCATCCGTCCGCGGGTCCCTCATCGCCCAACCTACTAAATCTACCCGCTTGCGGTCCCTCATCACCCGAACATCTGTGAATTATTCGATAGTCGACATTTGCCTATAGAAATTTATGGTAAAGACGTATAATCCGATAGTTAACATATATAATACATCCCTGATCAAGAATATCGACCAGTATTACTTTTTCTACACACACGTATACACCTTGTCCTCTACAATATTTTATTCTCCGCCGTTTTTATTAGTGTTATCATTGTTTCAGTTTTTATAGTACTTGTTATATTTTTTTCTCCTTTCATTTTATTTCGATATAAAAATGAATACATTCACATGTACATTCGTCGATTGTACTAAAGTTTTTTCCTTGAGACGTAATATGACACGCCACGCAATGAGGATGCTAAATTTCAGTGCGCTTTATGTCAGAAAATGTTTTCACGTAAAGACAATTGGGCTACCCACTTTAAAATTGTTCACCACGAAGGAAGAGTCGCCGCACCGGCTTTCACTCCTCAGGCCGGACCGTCAACCGCCCCGCAGGATACTGTAGCCCAGACACCTGTCGCCGGCCCATCGAAAACACAATGGACAGCGGACGAGGAGGACGATAAACTTTTTATGGACATTGACAACAGTATATTTTTTTTATTTTACCCCGCCACATAAATTATATTATAAGTATTATAGGTAGCAAACGCCGAAATTTGCTAAAGTTATCTGTCAACAGGTTCGCGGCCAGAGTTGCCAAACTGGAAGTCATGAACCTGCACGTGTCTATGAACCTAACAGAGAAGTCGCGATTTATATACTTCGAGAACGATATAAATTTTTCCTCGCTGTTAGGTATCACTGATACCGATTTTCATCACATCCCAGCCCCCTTACGATAAAATTCGCGTCGTAATTCGTCAGATTATGGAGTAGACACGAGATAAATTTAGGCGTTTGCAATTTTAAATTGCATGTATTACACAATGTTCGCTTAAATTTACCCGAGAGATGGCAATGATCAGCGACTTTATAGTTCCCCAACGAGAAACCGGTCTTACACAAATTGTAGGTGGTTTTCGCCGCATGCATAAGTCGTTGATTTTCGGTCATGAGCATGGCTGTATTAGTTTTTAAAAGATTGCTGATTTTTATGCCTGTTTCCACTATTTCCCCCATAAAATGTTTCACTACGTCCGGTTCATCTTCTGTTCCACGATAAATTATTGGAGCCGTTGGGATGTCGAACTCCTCCAATAACTCTGTTGGGACGTCATCCGAGGCTTTAACCACAAACCCATAGCTCATGTTTTTTAATTTTTTTCTACTTTCTTCAGTCCATAAACGATGACGGAAACATTGATATTATTTTTCTCTTCGACTTCTCTGTTAGGTTTATAGACACGTGCAGGTTCATGACTTCCAGTTTGGCAACTCTGGCCGCGAACCTGTTGACAGATAACTTTAGCAAATTTCGGCGTTTGCTACCTATAATACTTATAATATAATTTATGTGGCGGGGTAAAATAAAAAAAATATACTGTTGTCAATGTCCATAAAAAGTTTATCGTCCTCCTCGTCCGCTGTCCATTGTGTTTTCGATGGGCCGGCGACAGGTGTCTGGGCTACAGTATCCTGCGGGGCGGTTGACGGTCCGGCCTGAGGAGTGAAAGCCGGTGCGGCGACTCTTCCTTCGTGGTGAACAATTTTAAAGTGGGTAGCCCAATTGTCTTTACGTGAAAACATTTTCTGACATAAAGCGCACTGAAATTTAGCATCCTNATTTTTATATCGAAATAAAATGAAAGGAGAAAAAAATATAACAAGTACTATAAAAACTGAAACAATGATAACACTAATAAAAACGGCGGAGAATAAAATATTGTAGAGGACAAGGTGTATACGTGTGTGTAGAAAAAGTAATACTGGTCGATATTCTTGATCAGGGATGTATTATATATGTTAACTATCGGATTATACGTCTTTACCATAAATTTCTATAGGCAAATGTCGACTATCGAATAATTCACAGATGTTCGGGTGATGAGGGACCGCAAGCGGGTAGATTTAGTAGGTTGGGCGATGAGGGACCCGCGGACGGATGGATAATTCATAATGCTCGCGGATGTTCGGGTGATGAGGGACCCGCGGGCGGGTAGATATAGTAGGTTGGGCGGATAGATAATACACAATGCTCGCGGTGACGGTCAACCCGAGTAATGGTTTTATTGCGGTTAGGTGTTATCTTCATTAAGCACATACATGAAAAGGTCTTATCGTATATACGCGTATATTATCCATAACGGATACAATTTAGGTCCAGTATAATAAAAATCGAGATAATTATTGTTTTCGAGTACCTATATGTCATAATGTTAGTGGTAACTGATAATGAATATGATAATAGCTGCGAACACTTTGCGGTGATAGTATGTATGTGCATGTATAGTGGTGGTTATGGGGTTGGGGCGGCGGCTTCGCGTAAGCGATCCAATAGGTATAGAAAATAATATTCGAGAAAAAAAATAATGTTAATAAATAAAAAAAGTGGGCGTGGTCAAAATAGATCGTCTACTTGGTAGATGGCAAAAGATAAAATTTGAAAAAAATAAATAAAGGGGGCGTGGCTAAAGAGGTGGATGGCTCCTGCTCCCGACTTTGAACCATCTATTTGACTCTACTTAAGTAAATTATACATTTCAAAAAAGTACTCATTTACGATATACACTCAATAGAGTTCACGTAAATTGGTCCTATGTAATTAATCGTGGTATAATTTATTTTACTATAAATATCAAGGTTTAAACGTATAATATAAAACACATAATTATATACGTTTTATACCGTATAAAAATAAACAAGTAATAAATAATAAATATTTAATATACATTTATAATTTAAAGTTCAATTTTAAACTAACAATTATTAAATTATTAAATCACAATGGTTGTTAATCTAAATTTGTATATTATTTAAACTTTGTTTTAATTAACAGGTGAAATTGTGATGCATAAATGGAAGAACCTACGTGATTCATATATTAAATATATGAAGTTTTTAAAAGGATTAACCGGATCTGCTAAAAAATACCAAAATTGGCCATGGGCAGCTTATTTGGAATTTTTGAAAGATACAGTAGTTCCTCTAGCAACTACTTCAAATGTATCACAGACCCATGAAATATCGCACATTGATGAAGCTTATGAGCAGGATGAGACTGCAGATAGCGAAATTATTGTAACTTCGCCATCTCAAATGCTACCACCTAAAAAAACACCAAAAAGAAAAGAAGTTACAGAAGACGTCGCTGCGGTCATAACATATCTTGAGAACAAAAAAAAAAGCAAAACTGATACAAAACTTGACCAAATAGATAATTTGTTCTTGTCATATGCACATACGTTCAAGACATTTTCGCCAAAAATACAAGTTCTTCTTAAAATGGAGATGTCGCAGTTGTTCGGACGAGCTGAACTCAACGAGGTGGACGTTTGTACTTTAACTCGATCCTCTCCAATATACTCTACAACTTCGTCTTGGTCAGATAGTAACTCAAATGGAGCTGATAATTTCACTGGTAATATCATTCATCCACCCAAATATTCAAACCTACATCTAAGCACCGACACACCAACCTCGTTACCACTCGGATCTTACCAGGTTTCTCAGTCAACTCAGACATAGTAAAAAATCATTAAAATATATTAAATACTACTTAATACCCCAGGATTAATTAATTTTTATAAATATTTCTTAATTAAATACTACTTAATACCACAAAATTGTTTTATTTATATTCCTTACCTGTTTGACCGGACCTTTAGTAGTCATACGGCGGACCGAGTTTCATAATATATTTTGCTATTGGCTTTGTTGCTGGATCCACGTCTCCGAGGTAAATAAAAAATAAAAAAAAATTAAAACCTTATAATAATAATATCGTTTTTCACTACGAAGAATGATTTTTAAGGGTGAAAGGGTTGAGTATTAATACTCTCTTAAAGCCTATAACCTTCCCGGGGAAATTCTGATCAGAAAGCCTCTTCACAATCGGATTAACGGTTTATAGGAACACATAAGAGACACAGACAAACTTTCACTTTTATATAATATAGCTATCGATTATATTACGCGTATAAAATATTACCAACAATACATGTTACCTAGAAAAAAATCCTATCGCATTAATAAATTGATGGCGTATTCGTCAACGTTTACCCCGTTTGGTCTCGTCGAGCGCCGCCACCGGTTTTTTTTTTTTATACAACGGGCGCACCGCAAACAAACTCCGTTAACGTGGAACGGCCGAAAAGGCCTTTCGGATCGGTTGAAACGTTTTTCCCGTCGACACTCTCCGAAAACACGGTTTTATTTTTTAAGGTAAATACGAATCAAATCGTACTTTTCAGCGATAAACAATACTACGAAAAACGTTGTCCGACCGTTACACATTTTTTCATTGTATATCAATATTAAAATATGTACCCGGGTAGCGATTTTTTCATATTCGGATGTTTAATATAATAATACCAAAAATGTACGGGCTTTTTTTTCTAAGAGCTTTGGATTTTTTTTTTTATCGACGACAAATATATAATAGTCGAATAAAAAACCAAAATAACGTGTTATAATTATCGCGCAATACCGAACGCGATTTGTTTTTATTTTTTTTTTTTACAATTCTCACACGTCTCGATCGACTTAAAATATACCGAAACGTCTAATATTATGTCCCGCTATAATATTAACTGCAATATTATACGGACATCCATCACAGATAAATACACAAACATTATTCCGTATTCAATTATATAGCGTGTCAGTGCCGGCACGAGGGGTGTGCAGAAAGTGCAATCACACTGGGCTCCGCACTTTTGAATTTGGCCCTGGGGCCTCGCGCTTTTATGGGATACATATACAAATTTAAAAATATTATAATTTGCACGGGACTCCGTAAATCATAACAACTACATATGCCATACATATTTTTTATTTCACTACCAGAAGTTGCACTACGTACTGACTTGTAATTTTTTCCATTTCTGCACTTTTGGTAATAGTTAAAAATGAAAATGAAAATAATTATCAGTTTCTTTCCTTAACCGTTTAGGTTAAGAAGAGATAAATTCTTAAATCAATTTTTAAAATTTCATATTTTTTATTATATATTATATTTTTATTTAAAATAATTATGAATTATTATACAATAAGAAATGATTTTATTTGTCACAAGCAGTGCCATCTTAAGGATGCTAAAGAAGTCTTTGTGGGGCTAAACCCCCAAATCAGTGCTGTAATGTATCTTGTATCTAAATACTTTCTAAATTAATGTATCAGTATAGTGTATATGGATCTTAATCAAAATATCTAAAATACTTTTTAAGATAAAATTCTTACTTTTTTGGTTTAACAAAATACAAAAATAAAACTTAAAATTCTAAAATCTAATTTTTTTTAAATAAAAATATCAACAATTTATTGTTTTTTCGTTAGCAATGGTTAATAGTTGCGTACAGATATACATTAAATTTCCCCTCTACTTTCTCAACTTATCACCTACAACAGTGGCTCATTCATCGTGTGAAGTATGCCCGTTTGTAAACAATTTTCTAAGAATTATTTATTTAGTTTAAATAATTATACTTTTAAGTTACATTCACTTAGTCACATTTTAAGCAATTGTTAAATGATACAGACTCTAAAATGCTTACATTTGTTACCACTAAATTTTAAGTTAAAAATGGTTTGTTTATATTTATAGAATTTCTTAGAATAATTATTAAAATGATTCTCAGATTCAGTAATAGCAAACAACAATATAGTAATGTAGTAGGATTCTATTGCAAAGGATACATTAATATTCATGTCAAAAACTCGCAGTATTCATAAAATTCAGATAGTACAGATAATCTGATTTCTTGTTTCGTTCAGAATCTAAAATATTTATATAACTTAATTTAATAGATTTGTAAATGACTAAAACTGGAGTATGTTTATAACTTCAAACATTTATTAATTATTTTTCAGGACTTTAGTTTTAAATTTACGTTTCTCTTGCAACATTCGAATATGCTTTCCTGGTCTTTTTCGTTTTTTTGTAATTAATTTTTCATTTTCTGGTTTACGACTCATAACGGAACCTGGGTTTTCAACGAGTTCTTCTTCTGACTCACTGAAACTAAATTTTTTTTTTTTTGTATATATATATATATATATAATATGTTATAACTCTTAGGCAATATTTATTATTATTTACCTGTAATTATTTTCTAGTAAATTATCTAAGCTTTCAGGTAGTTTGAAGTTTGGTAGCGATTCAGTTTCAGCCATCTTTAATTGATTTACTAAAGGTCTAAAGTGTTTATATGAGTGTGAAAATGATTTATACAATGATTTAGTAAGTATCCAAACTCTGCTAACCATAGCAAGGGCCATGTTCATTTCTAACCAACATTGTCCATTTTGGAACACTTTAACTATAAGCTGGGCTATTGCTTCACTAAATTGCTGCAATTGACTAATTAAATTTGTAGCCATTAAAATGCGAGTACCAGCCCATAAACCACATTGTTTTGAAGGCATCCCATTTTCGAATGTTGATAATAAAATAAATATAACCTCAGATATATTAAGTTTATATAATTTTTTTATTACAACAGAAATCTAAAATTGTTTCAAACAAAATAAAATACATTAAATAAAAATAGTATTAGTTTACCAAATATTTAATACTTCTAAGATATTTATAAATTACTTGTTTAAGACGTCTAAAAAGTTTCTCTCCTCTAAATTTTTTTTTTACTTTACAGCACATTCTAGAAATAAGTGCACCTTCATCGAATAATTTACTTAAATCTGCCTGATTTATAGGTAATTGTTTAATAATTTTTTGCATATTACATAATTTCTCTGAAAAATAATTTTTACTATTATTGTTATTCAAATTTCCAGTAGTTTACCACACACCAATATCTCAATGCAGTGAAAATAATATAAATTAAGAGGGGGAGGAGATCTTAATAATTAGATACATTTTCCATATTATAATGTCAAAGGATAGTACTGGCATATTATTTATTAATTTTCAACACTACAATATTTTGAGTAGTAGTAGTTTATTGATTACTAAGTTCTAGTAAGTAGGTACCTATTTAATGTAATTACAATTTACAAATGTTAATAACAATTCAATTTTTACATTTTTATTTAAAATTTTGTCGGCTTATTTTCCAAAATTTGGCAACTGAAAATTGTGCTAAATTGTGATTATGAATATAAGAGTAAATTTCTCTAGATTGTGATGGTATTCGATAAAAAAAACGTTGAATGTATTTTACTTAAAAATGATACATATTAGCGGCTAATTGCAAGCTGTTGACACTGATTAAATAATTTCCATCATATGGCTATATATTCCAAAGGCACACCCTGATTTTTTTTTTTGGGGAGGGGGGCAGGTTAATATATTATTTTTAAATAGTTAAAAACTAAACTTTATTAAAGAATTTAGCGATAATTTAAAGAAAAATAACAACTTTAATTATAACTAAAACAATTGTTTAAAAATATGCCAGTCTTTGGTAGTATTAGATTAAACTTGTATGACTTTAAATTTCTTTTTCATCACATAGCAAGTTATAACAATATAAGATACCAAGATCTTGTAATAAATATCAATATAATAATTATTTTTATAAAATTGTATGACAATAATTAAAAAGTGACTTTAAGTAACCAAAATAAAAAAAAAGACTTAAATTTGAAAAGTGATCAACCTCCATCTCTGCATTAGCTGGTGTCAATTATTACAAAATAGTGAAATTTTGCCGCAAGTTTTGCAAACGATTTTATATTTTATACATTAAAATATAATATTATGCTTTATTCAAACCTTTATTTATGGTAGCTCGAAGACTAATTGATTTCGGTTTATTATGAACTACTTGATAACAAGAATTAATCATCATAATTATAATTTAAAATGTATTAAATCAACAGAATTACACCAATTGTTCAACACTTTATTTTTAATTTAAATACATAAACATTCGTATCTTAACTAGAGGGTAGGAGAGCCAATTGTTCAAAAATAATAAAGATTAATATTAACGGGCCGAAAGCGTAATTTGTAAACCTATACACCGTCCCAAAACATCGAGGACCGCATGGGGAACATAGATAATAATGTTATTATCTGACGAGCGCGGCGGGCCTATAATATTTGTTCTAATGACCACATTTTGTCCGCGGCAACGATCTTGTGTAACCGAATAGGTTATTGGTGGGAGGTGCGCGCTGCCGGACGAAAACCGGTCGCTGCCTGGTGGCTTCTCTTTTGGATTGAAGTATATTATCTTAGATATCATATACTATGGATTCCGCATGATAAACGAATTGTACGTACACATTATTATTAACGAATAACAAGTGCCAAGGGAACCGATGAATATTGCGCATGCGTATCAGTACTAATCGCATATTTATCGTATAATCATTATACCACCAGGCAGTGGGGACATTACCAGTTGGCGGAAATTGATGAGAGATTTTTTTCTGATTCAGTTTGAAATATTGCCAACATTGAACAACAAAATGTTTGCGTAGACATTTTCACTATCAAAAAAAAAAAAAAATTTCAATAATGTATTTATTTTTTGCTTCGAATATTTAGTCAATAGCATAGATACTATATACATGGATGGAACATATTATGTATACAAGTGTGATCGAAGAGCATACTCGTTACCTAAGTGGGTAAATATAATTAAGGTGTAGTATCACCCATAAGTGATAACAAAAAACGCAATTTTTGGCGCGCACCAAATTACCAAAATCAAACATTCGGAAAATAAAAATATTATTTATTATTTGCATTAAATTGCGTATAATTTCATTCAAACATTTACATTTTATTTGTCTGAAAAATATTAAATACAAAAAAATATAACATTGAAACAATTAGATATATTAATGGTGTTTGGATAAAATTAATTTGGTGTACTTATATCTAATTTTTAATTGTTCATTAATTTTTTTTATATTTTATATATTATCTATTGTCAATAACTCTATCCATAGTATAAGAGTATTTATATTTTTAATCTGTATATTTGAATATCAAAGAATAACATTAATCACACTGATAGTCACTAGATAAGATTATGCATTATACCGCCAAAATATCAATTTTTATTTCTGTACTTACTGCTCATGACTTAATGAGAATATGAGATATTTTGTGCATAGTACAAATTAAAATATATAACAACTAAACACGGTACAAAAGTGTTGTATTTGCAGATCATAACGATCAAATGAGATCACATAACACGGGTAAGTATTTATCCAAATTAAAGATTTTTATTTTGTTACACATAAAATACATGACCAGAGCCGATACACACCGGATCATTTAGAATCTATATGTAATGTACATGGCAAATTAAATTTGTTATGGTTATTTACCTGTTTTTTAAAATATATCTATTCAGTATGAGAGGGGGCAATAAAAATGTGAGTTCATTTTCAAAAATGAAAAAACGAACAACTTGGATTCAGTCAAAATTTAGAACGATTCTACTGATTTTTAAAATTTTTTTTTTCAAAATATGTGTTTTTGGGTATACATTAAGAATGTAAAAAAAAAAGGTCGAACGATTTTCGTTTGGAAGTTACAGGGGAAAACTTCATGAATTTCGGATTTTCCGTTTCGTGTATTTCTCAGTTAAAATTTAACATTTACAAATTTTTTTTTTTCAAAACGTGTTTATTTAATTTTTTTTATTTATCCATTGATATAATCACAACAATATACTTTTGAAATTAATGTACATTAATCTTGAAAAATAACATTTTGAATATACCTAGAAACTTGGTGGGGTCACTCATTCGCTGCCCTTGGACTGTTTTAATCGAAAATTACCCTCGATTTGTTGTACAAAACCATGATTAATTATGAAAATGTTGTTTTTCAAGGATTATGTACAATAAGGTTAGGTTAGGTTAGGTTAGGTATGTTTGCACCACAGATTATATGATCTAAGGACCAAGGTTCTTTGTAACAACGAATTTTTTGGGTACCTAACCGTGATATAAACGTTACAGTCTTTGCGTAGATTTTTAGGTTATATTATTTTATGTAAAATAATCACTGTTGTTTGTGTTAACCCGCTGTTTGTAAACTATAAAGTTTATTGATATGAAAATCAAATAATTCCATGTGATCACTATAATGTATTAATCGGGATGTATGACTGTATATTAAGAGAATGAATGACTGCGTGTGTTGAATTATACCAATTTCAAATATTAAACTGTTTTAAATTTTGAAAATTGTACGTTTTCTATGAATAATATCATAAAATTATGATTTACTAAATCGATGATGGAAGTATTATATTAACATTATTAAATGAAAAGTTTCAGTTAATTTTGTTATTAATCTGAATACCTATTTATTTTAAATTAACCATTATTAATTTTGGTTGTAATCAACTATGTCTAAAGTAAGTCATTCATGTTAAGAACCAACTTTAATTGAGTTTCATATACTTTTCTGATAACCTTCAATTTTTAGCTTAGTAGAATTGTTGATATAAAATATAATTTTCTTTATGTGCCTTCAACGGATTAGAGCTAGTTAATGAAATCTATTTTTTGATGTAGGATATACGATCATATTTTATCACTGGAGGCAGTAAGCAAGAAAATTTAAATAAAATAAATTCACAAAGTAAAAAAAAAACCAATAAAAGACTTATACTATCTAGTGATGAAGAAGATGATGTGGAACCTTGTGGTTCAGTTATACCACAGCAAAACACATCTGAAAAACGAGTTTGTATTAATCCAATTGATGTATTTGGTTCAAAGCCAGTTAAACAAAACCCAATTAACGTGACTAAGCCTAAAAAAAAAATCAAAGTAAGTAGGATGAATATGTAGCCTTTATTTTTTTCGAACAAAAATTGATTTGATATATTTTCTGTATAAATTAAGTTTAGCTCCCATGCAATTTTTTTTAACTAGGACACTGTTTCTGTAGCTCTTCCTAACTGTATCATATCTGGATTTAGCTTAAGTTCTATTTTCCCACCCTTCTAAGAAAGCACACAAGATGTAAGCAAAGCCACATACTAGATATAGTGAGCGCGTAATTTGGATTTAGTTATACGTTATTTTATATAAACTTATTTAAATTTGCCTACAAAAAATAATCAAAAGCAATTGTAACATTTTTTTCAAAAAATTGGAAAATCTGGGTTTCTGAAAAAATTTTTAAATATTATGTGGGCACTAAACTAAATATGTTTTTTTTAAACTACAACTAGGATAATCACATTGAACAAGATATTGATATTGAATGGAGTGAACTAGATAGCGTTGAAAAACAGTTCCTAGACATAAAGTCAAATGATGTACTTCCATCTAAAATCTCTGAAAAATCTCCAATTACATCAAATCACTCTACTATTACACCAAACACTTCTCCAGATAATCTCAAAAAAAAAGTTCCAACACAGAAGCTTTCACCAGATAAATCTATTTCATCCAACTCATCTCCAATTAAAGGAACACAAGTATTGTTAACGCCGCAAAAATCAAATAGTCCTTTGATATTGCCAAAGAAAAAAAGTGTATCAGAAAATAGTACATGCAATATTAAAGTTGAATCTCCAAAAAAACAATTTAATTTCAATGAAAAAGACAAAAATATTGTGAATACAAATTTTAAAAGAAAAATTTCACCTACACTGACCCCTGAGAACAAAAAATTTAAAGTTAATTTAGAACAATCCCCTAATACTCAGGTAATTAATACAATTATACATTTATTTTTAAATTATTTAATAGTTTATAATAATTTTAATTTTAGGAAAGTGGATATTCAACAGAATTGTCCCCAATAAGACGTACTGCATCTCCTATTATTGAAAATAATGTTGAATCAAAACTTTGGGTAGATAAATATAGACCATTAACATTAAAACAAATTATTGGTCAAACAAGTGAAAAAAGTAATGTAAATAAATTATTAAATTGGTTAAAATGCTGGTACTCTAATCATGGAGTTGGAGTAAATAAAAAATTAACTAGACCAAGTAAGTTATTTAGCAAATATTATAATAAATAAATTCCTTATTGTTTTATTATAATTTTTTAAAGGTCCTTGGGCAAAAGATGACAATGGAGCTTATTTCAAAGCTGCTCTACTTTCTGGTTCTCCTGGTGTTGGTAATTATAAAACTTATTTGTCTTGTTTATGAATTGTTGTTTATAATTAATATTGTTTATAGGAAAAACTACCACAGCTCATTTGGTATGTAAGGAATTGGGTTATGATTTTGTAGAATTCAATGCTTCAGATACCCGTTCTAAGAAACAACTTCAAAGTCATGTGTCTGAACTTTTATCTTCAACTTCATTAAGCCCTTTTTTGAATGGAAAATCTGTTACAAAAAAACATGCACTATTAATGGACGAAGTTGATGGTATGGCTGGCAATGAAGATCGAGGAGGTGTACAAGAATTAATTTTATTAATTAAAAATGCAAAATGCCCAGTAATATGTATGTGTAATGATCGAAATCATCCAAAAATACGTACATTATCTAATTATTGTTTTGACCTACGATTCCATAAACCAAAATTGGAACAGATCAAAGTAAGAACATTTAATAATTTTATTCCATCAACTTGCTTCTTATAATATATTTCAGGCTGCCATGATGAGTATATGTTACAAAGAAAAATTAAAGATTCCTCCAGATACTTTATCTTCAATTATTGCCAGTACAGATAATGATATTAGATTAACACTTAATCATTTATCAGTTGTTGCAGCAGGAAAAGATAATTTAAATATAAACAAAAAATATATTAAAATGGTAAAGTATAATTTATGTTGAATATATTTCTTTATATTTTATTTATATGTGATTTTGATAATCCGTTTGAGCGTGCTATGATATGTTGTTATTTTACCCAATTAAATAAGTTCACAGTCCAATTGAGCGTGATTGTTAAATTATATGCATGTATAATATCATCTTTCTGTATGTAAGATATATATTTTTTTTCTCATGTCAGATGACATATTTATAATTAAACATTTAATAACTTGCAACAAAACTAGAATGAAATAGATTATGTTCATATTAATACATAATCTGGTAACATTATATTGGCTATATGTTTTCTTTTGCCCTAGTATTGAGCTTCATTTACTGTTTTTTGATATGCTTATTATCAGATCATCTTAGTCTTACCCACAAGTAGTGATAATGATTTTTCGATTGAAGTCAAGGAAGTCTTTCTTGAAGATATTTGAAAAGTTATCAAAAACACCCTCACAATATGGAGTATCCAAGTGCAATAAATAACTAATGGACATGGCTAATAAAAATCAGAAAAGCAGATGGTCTTATAAGTAAAATTACCCCCTGGTTAATATGAAGAACACAGAATAGACTGTGTGTTGGATTTCAAAAGAAAATATGCGAACATAGAAATGTAGTGTAACATTTGAAAATACTTATATTTTTTGAATTAAAACATATTTAGCCATCATTCTCCTGTACATAGTGTATAATGCACACGCATATAATTTTTTTTACATTTATTTTGAACATACCAAATAATGTAATAACTTCAATTTTACCCAAGTTCAGTTTGTGATGAAAGAATAAAAAGTAAATTTATTTATTTTTATATTTTTTGAAGGTAAACACCTATAAACCTAAGATTAGGTTTATAAAAAAAACCTAATCCTTTATGTATCTATAATTTTAAAAAATCGAAATGACAACACTCAAGTGACACATTTAATTTTATTATTTTATTTATGAAACTGATTATTAAACATAATACCTGTATTTATTTAATTATTTTCAAATATTTAGCACATGTAGGGGAAAGTTCACATAATAAATTGTATTATATATGAAAAAAGTTTTTATGTTCAAATAGGTTAGAATACGCACTCAAATAATATATGGTTACTTTAGGGTAAACAAAACTCAATTGGGTGCCAATCATTTACGTAATATATTTTCAGGGACCATGGGATGTTTTGCGAAAAGTTTTTTCCGCTGAAGAACATAAGTCAATGAATATTAATGAAAAATGTGATCTTTTTTTTTATGACTATAACATATCACCATTATTTGTTCAAGAAAATTATTTATCTGCTGTTCCTCATAATATCATGTAATATTCACTTCCTACTTTTTAGATAAATGTTTTATTATATTTTGTTGGATTTCATTTTCAGAGGTCCTGAATGGAAAAAATTAGAACGATATTCATTAGCGGCTGACAGTATAAGTATAGGAGATATAGTTAGTTCAAAAATTAGATCTACTAATAATTGGAGCTTACTTCCAGCACAAGTATTTACATTTTATTTACCTTATAACAACTGAAAATAATAAATATACTGAAAGTAATTTTAAAAAGGTATAATAGAGTAATTATTTATTATCTATTATACTAAATATATATTAAATAATATATTTACTTGTTAAAAAATAATTGTAACTTAATACATAAATTTAAAGCTATGATAAAAATGGTCTTTTTTTGTTTTTTTAGGCTATATTTTCAAGTTATGGTCCAGGTGAATTTTTGAGTGGTCATATAAGTAAACAAATCAATTTTCCTGCGTGGTTAGGGAAATTTTCCAAAGGGAATAAAATGAACAGACTTTTACAAGAAGTACAAATCCATAGTAGAATAAGGTTAGTGTATAAAATTAGTAGAACTCTGATTTCAATGCAAAGTTCATTTAGAGTACTTGTTAACATTTTTTTGGTTATTTTGTTAGTTTCAAGTGCATATGTATGTACAATACAAATTAATAGTTAAAATTTTGATAACACAAAATATTATTTCAAAAAACTTTTTTTACGTGAAATTTGTTTTAATTGGGTTTAGGTATTTGTCATTAATACAGATTATCAAATGTTTTATTAATGATTTTGATTTGTCTTATCTTTATTAATGAGTTNACTTAGATCTTTTCAATTGTTTTTAAGACATTTAAATCCGGGTTCCAATAATTATTTATTAGTTTATATGTGATACCATTGATTATACAAATATTCATATTTTATATATTATAATCAATGATTATACTAAGATAAATTTGTTAATGTTGTATTCAGATTATCTGCAAGTAAAGAAGCAATAAATCTCGATTACTTAACTACTTTGCGAGATTCAATTCTTAAGCCTCTTATTAATGAAGGTAGTGACGGTGTGAAGAAAACTTTAGATTTTATGAATCATTATCATCTTGTGAAAGATGATGTAGAATCTCTTAACGAGTTGTCTTTATGGCCAGGAAATAAAGATCCTATGTCCGACATTCCTTCTAAAGTAAAAAGTGCTTTTACAAGAATGTACAATAAAAGTGCACCAACATTTAATGTATCAAAAAAAATTAAGAAAACTGTTCAGGATGATGTTTTGTTAGATAATGATGATATAGATGTTATTAGTGATGAAGAAGAGGATGATGATATTACTAACGATGCCTTAATTTCAATGGTTAGTATATTCAAACTTTTGGTATATATTTTTTACATAGTTATATTATTTAAATTGTTTAACTTTTAGGTGAAAAAAAAATCTGCTAAAAAAGGTGCAACTTCACCTCCTCCTGAAGCAAGTAAAGTTAAAAGTAGTAAAGGTGGTGGTGGAGGGAGAAAAAAAAAATAATTTCTCATTTATTTTTACAAAATTATTAAGTACAATTTTTTTCTACTCTATGATTTTATTTAAACAAAAAGAAATCAAATTACTGTTACTTAAATATCACTACAAATACAATTTTATTTTCTTGTTTAATTCCGTAATTATTTTTCAGTAATAAATGATTGTGTATAATGATTTATAATGTATAAATCTATGGTATGTATACAATAAAAATGTGTATGATTATTATACATTGGTGTTTACTTATGTTATTCTGTTGTAGTTTAATCTAATATTTTTTATACAAATTTACACAAAATAAAAAAAAGTATTGTTTTTTACCTTAGGATAGAACTTTTTAAACAATGTTTTATATTTTATATATTGTAGTATTACTTCAATTGCATTTATTGTTTTAAAATTTGTTTACAAAACGATATATACTAAAATAACCACACACTTTTATGTTTTGTAAAAATGTTCTCAATTTTCATCATACCTTAAAAAAAGTACTAGATAAAAATCTTCATTGTAAATTAATACATGGGAACGAGTGCAGCCACTGGTGTAGGTAAGATATAGATGGAAATTTAATATATATCTATAACCAACAATAAACCATTACTTATGCAAAAACGATTCTGAGCAGAATTCAGTTGATAGTGATACTTTATCAATAATATATAATTCATTTTGTAGTGAAATAATTAAATAGGACTTATAATTTCATTAAGACAATTTGTTTAATGTACCAATTTTTCTGGTTTTGTCATGTTTTATCTCGGTTTTTCATATTTGCTGGAAAAACTAGGGAAAATCAAAAAATTACCTCTCTAAAGTTCTTCCCTAGTAAAATTAACTTTTAGAAACATTGCTATCATTAAAAATTGGAGCAAAATTGCTGGTAGAAACGTTGCGCACATAAAAAAAATAAATAATAAACGTCTTAAATGTATGTGTATATGTAAAACCATAAGCTTCTTTGCTCCACTTAGAATATAATAGTTACTTAATACAATAAACAATTAACTGATGACTGAATAGAGTAATAAGTATATAGTATGTAGATATACTTAATTGGGAATCAATATATATATATACATGTACAAAGTGAATATTTTGACTTCTAACTGTGTATACACAAATATTTTTTTTAAATAGGTAAAAATGTACAACAGCTTATTTTCCATAATATTAATTTTGGACTAAAACATTTTTTTTTCAATTCTATAAAATGTATTAATTTTGATACTTTTTTAAATACTCCAACAAATAACTTGTTTTATACCCGTTTATGCTTCAATTTTTCTTTCATATTTCTTCTACTTGTTGGTTCTCTATTTGAATAAATTTTAATAGTTTACCGATGTGGTTATTTTATTTTTGTCAATTTTTTGAGTTACAAGGGAAAAACAAGAAAATAATACTTGAATTAAAATTTTTTTTTTTCATATGTAAACAATTGATTGCAACTATTAAAGTCGTTTTAAAGCACTTCTGCACTGACTACAGTTGGCGTTTTCTAACTACTAATATGTGTTTGTACTACCCCGGTTTAATGTGTTCCATGTTAAAAAACTGACACAAGAATCATAGCTACACGAGCTTGTTGATGCGGTTTTTATTAATATACTGATAAAAAATAATTTACAAGTCTGCCATTGTTATGCTTGTCACGGTTAAAAAACAGCAATGTAATTTTTTGCACATACCAAAGATACATAAAACATATTTTTATATATTTGTAGCACATCCCTTGTTTATAGGTTGCCTTATACCACAGGATGTAATAAGTATAGTCTATGATTATCTATGTGTACAATGTGAACTGTGCAACCTTTTTAATAGACGCAACACGTCGTACGAGATTTGAATATAAAATATACGAGGTACGAGACATCTTCAACCTCGTGCACCAAAAGTACGAGAATGCAGAATACCAAAACGGTAGGTATGTTAAAATCAGAATTATTATTATTTGAAGTGCCTGCCTACCTATGATGTTATTTAGTTTAAAAAAAATGTTAAATGTTATTTTTAGTCACATTCCTAATAACTAGTATAAAACTATTAAAGGGTAGATTTTAATCTTTTTTATTTTTCTATGGGTATAATTTGAAAGTACACAATTAATTATATAAGCTCTCTAGGTATAATTATTACAGATGATAACCTTATTTTTATGTTTTTTGAATACGAGAATTCAAAGGCTATATGTTATTTCAATTTTTTAAGTTTGGCAACACCATCTGTATATCTTATGTCTTGGTATAAATATAGATAAGATAGAACACAATAACATATCATACTATCAGGGACCAAGAGATATAACCTTCAATAAGTTACAATATTTACTTTAATTTTTATATTATTTGATAAAAGAATAAAGATTAAAAATTTAATTCGTATTCAAAGAACCTAATTTGTGTTTTATTTTTATTTTAAATTTCAATATTCCACGAAATTAGTTTAATTACTTAAAAATGATGCCTTTAAAAACTGATCAATCCATAGTTATGCCAACAGAGACCAAGTCTGCTGAACAACCAAAAAAATTAAAACCTTGTTGTGCTTGTCCAGAGACGAAAAAACCTCGAGATGCTTGGTAACATAATAACAACTACTATATTATGTTAATAATTGTAGACGATGTAGTAATATTATTGTTTAAATACAAATATATTTAAGTAGTAATTTTACAATAGAATTATTACACAATATTTCATAACATAGAGCAATACCTTGTTGTGGGGATTACATGTATCGCTATTTTTACACCAAGCTGTTTCGTTTCACCCATAAACCTATAAACTAAGTTTTTAGACTATGGTATTATCATAACATATAATATTTGATAATGGTTTTAATATTCGAGTTTAATTAGTATACCTAAGTACGCCAGACAGATAACGTGCAATCAATTTTTATATAGTAGTATACATAAAATAATATAATTCAATTTAAAAAAGTTTCATTGGATTAGTGCTTTCAAAAATTAAAATATTTTGTTTTATGAACATGTTATTTAAAAAGTAAGAACAATAATTAAATTTTAAATCTAATAAGATTCATGGTTTTAATTTATTTAAAATCATTTGACATAGGTATATATTTATGTGATTTTCTGTTAATTTGAATACCGACCGTCTCAATTTTGTTATCTCGACTAATCCATAGTGTGATAAGTAGTTGTCTGAATGTGATAAGAATTCGGTATAAAATTTTGGTCTCGGTCATCATAAATCCTATAGAGCCTATATTATACTATGTATTATCTATCCCGATCTCAGACTCCGGTCACTTATCCTATCCAACGTAATTTTACGTTAAAAATCCGGGTTAATTTTCGATTAATTAGTCCATTTACTTGTTTCGCTTCGTTCCGTTTGGGGTCGAAGGCTTAGACGAAGCAATTTGGCAATTAAGTATTGGGAGTATTAATTTAGTATTTAAATATGGGTATAGAAAATTATTTTGCCTTCGATAATTCAATGCTTTGTTGCAGTGCTGTCACTATGATAGATGTGATCAAAACATGATGAACATGATTGCGATGAATTTATAAACACAAATTTCAACAGTATGATTATAGATAACTAAAAATTAAAACTAATGAATTTAAAAATTAAGCCCAAGAAAATCTGATGTTGATGACATGTTCCATAGTGTTTGTCTCAAGGAAATAAATCCAATAAAACCATTAGTAATTCTGGAACGCGTTCAAAAGTTAATAATTAAAATTTATCAGTGTTTCTACAAATTCCATCCAAATTTATTTATCATTTCCGTGTGACCCATGATGTTTTTGATGTAGGTAAGATCTTAGGCGCAAGTAGACATCAAATTTTGGTGGTATTTAAATTATAAAACGCTCCTAAACCCCCCCCCCCATTCTTTAGGGCAGTGGTTTTCAAACTTATATTAAACACGATACACTATGCTCTTCAAAGATGTTCATGGCACACTACGAATATGGCGTATAAGTACAAGTCGGCTGAAACAAATAAAGTAATAAACTAACTGGAGAATAATAATATTATCTATACATTTTATTGTTCAAATTGTCAAATTATCAAAGATAACTTATCTTTATTGCTTTATTTTTACAAACAGTCGATTTATTAATATTTATAAATATAACAAATGAAAGACGATTAAACGTTTTGAACGCGTTATATTAATTTTATTAATTCGCACATCACAATTGATGAATTTTATAAAATTGGTCATTTATGAAAAACTATTTTCAAAAGACCGCGGCACTTAGTTAGAAAACCACTGCTCTAATGTCTAGGTACTCAGCGCCGTACATTCAATCTTGTTTTGTGGAGGGGGTGGATGGGACTGAGTTAGACAAATTAGAAAAATGTTTTCCTAATCATATTTTAGAAAATAACCATACTATAAGTTTTGATATTAATATAGACTTAGAGATATTAAATACCCAAAAAACAATTTACATTAATTTAGTTTTAGAAGAATTACACATACTCAATGAAATAAAAAAAAATTATTTTAATAATTTTTTTAATATTCAAATCGATTTTAAAAATAATATCTTGTATCAATACATTTTAGATAATAAAATTATAATCAAATAATTTATATTTCTTAACATACAGAGGTGGCCAAAAGTCGCGCAAAGCATACTATCTTGTTTGGAATGCGCGTTACAAATTTTTTGCACGACTTGGCCACCTCTGTATCTATATCTAATAATTACTAATTTTAAATAATCTCTCTTATTAAAATAAATTATTTCTATATTCTTTGTAAAACTACCAATTTGTATACATTTTTTTTTTCTATGTATTCCTTCATTTAATTTTTTATATTCAGCACATTTTATATTTTGACTGTGATATACCCGATGATGAATTTTTAATTCGAAACCGGTTGTATAATATACTTATTATAATGCTCGATGCATGGATTCATTTATTTATTTTATTTATATATATATATATTTTTTTACTTTATTTAATTTTTATTGACATAATGTTCCAAATAAAGTTACAAATATGAAAGCAATATTGTTCCTCTATTATTTCAGCACAATATCATTTCATACCTTGGACATTTTTTTTTTTGAACAAAATATATTATTCTTTGATGTCACCAATCTACAGCTTACATCATCAACTTATGTAACTTTAGTTTAATTCTTTTAAATACAATTTTGAAATTATATTATCTTATTATTATACAGGGCCCAAATTTTTATGTAAATGCAAATTTTTTTATTGAATGCATCAATTTCTTATTGATAAATATGTTTCATTACACCTTGAATAAAATAAGTCTTTTTTATTTTACATATTTTGTATTATTATAACAATATGTAATATTGGCAATACCAATTATTATTATATTGGAAATTTTGTCCTGAGTAATAATGAAAATAAATTTAATTACACACACACCAAAAATGTTTGTTTATAATACAAAAGCTATTAAAAATATTCTTCTGAATAAAATTGAAAACATATCAAGAGAAATTGAATTTACACCATCTGATAAATCAAGTAAAAGAAAGATATTATTATTCCATTATTCAATTAAATTAAAAAAAAAAAAAATATATATATATATATAATTTACTTATAACTACAGTACTTTTTTTATATGGTTTAAATTTAAAATATAAATGTTTATGTTATAACATTATTTTAAACATTTTTTTTTTATGTTTTATCATTGCATATTTTGGGAAAAATAACAAACATAATTACATAGTTTGACTTTTTTTATTACATTGAAATCTGTACTTTACTTATTATACTTGATAAGTCATTTTTGGTAATTATCTCTTCTTCTTCTCCTCCTTCATCCCAATTATTCGAAGTCGGCTATGCTCATTCTAAACTTCCACTTGACCTGATCTACCTTGTATACACCAGCTGTATTTCATTCTTAATTGCATCCAACCATCTTTTTATTGGTTTACCTGTCCACCTCTTTCTATCTGTTTATTTTCATTACAATTCTTACTGCTTTAAATTCCTCTTTTCTTATGACATGCACAAACCTCTTGATTTATTTTCTCATTTTGTTTACTATCGAAGTCACACCTAAGTTACCACTTCTGCACTCATTCTCTCATCCTCTCTTACCACTTCATTCATTCACCAATTTATGGTAATTATCTAAAATGTATTTTCTCTTTAAACACTTGATAGCAATTGAGAACATTGTTGGGTTTTTTAAGCTCTTGTGTATTCATTCTATAGATGTGGTTCGAAGGACATTTCTTTTTGGCTACTTGTTATTATAAGTTAAATTTATAACTACATATTATATGATTATCACATTATTTAAACCAATATAAAAAACTCATTAAGTATAGGCATTAGTTCACTTTGACTTGTATGAAAACAATACAGATATATCTATTTATTTATATAAATTAAAACCATAATATTATGATAATTTGATATACATAAACATATCTATCATATTTAATCATATTTTTTTTTTTTAATTTAAATTTTTACACAATTACAGTAAATCCTAATATAAACATACTATCTAATGTAAATGAGTTTATGTATTAATAATTATTTATTTTTAATAATTTTTACAATTAATACAATCTTATAAAAATTCTACTCATATGAACAAAATATCGCATAATATATGTATATAATTTTATAATTTATATAATGAAAACCAAGCAATGAAGATCTAATAATATGTATATATTTTGACAGTATTCAAGTATCATTATCATATTACCTAATGAGTAAAAACAAATGTATCTTAAATCTGTTATTCTATATCTAAAGACTTATTCAGTGTATGGAAATCTGGGTGAAAACCCAAATTATTGATACCATCTATAAATATATAAACTAACTGTACAAAATTGCTATAGTTATAAAATTGTAAATGTCACTTTATTAATTTTTACAGTATTATGGAAAATGGAGAGGAAAATTGTCAGCATCTTATTGAAGCTCATAAGGAATGCATGAGAAAAATGGGTTTTAATATTTGAGTAGTAAGCATTCCTAACCTGTTTTATGTTATTTTGTACAAATTTACATGTTAGATACAATTAATTATTTCTCTAGTCTAAATGTATTTAGTATACATAACATAAATTGTTTTCCATGTGCTTTATATAAATAATTAAATAAAATGCATTGGAAAGATATATATATTCTATAAAGTTTATTATTCGAAAAAAAAAAAAATGTTATTTAATATTTTATTATGACATTAATCAAAGTCATAATATCGGTGTACTTAAAATTTGTTTAGTATTAACACTAATTCACATTAAGACTGTAATTTTATTTGAGACAATTGGAGATATAATGTAAGTGTAAGAAAATTAAAATAAACTAAATATAAAATAAAAACAATATATTTTAACTTTGTAGTACCAACTTTCTTTTCTCAACAATTTATTGATGGTTGTTATAGATCACGGTTAGGTCTAATTGTTTTAAAATCCTGCAAAATTAAAATATTGTAAATTATACTTTTTAAAAAAAAAATTGTAATGATTAATTAAAAATACTAATACATAATAATAAAACTTTCTTTTTTTAACTTCAATATAATAAATAAATTTAAGCTATGTATATGACAATTTGATAAACAAATCATGTGAATACAATACAACGAAAATATAGAAAACCAGTATAGTATATTGAACATGTATGCACAATAAAATTACAAAAACAAGTACCTAATAAGTTTGTTTTGTCAATTAATACTCTGAATTTGTATAGTAATAAATGCTGAATTATTAAAATAGTAACTGCTACTTTTGAAAATAAAAATAATTTATTGACTAATGATTATATAAAAGTTAAATTTGAAAAAAAAAACCATACAAATTATAGCAAAAGCATAAGTTTTTTATAGCTGTAAAATTGTTAATATTATTATAAAATTATGAATTACTAAATGGCAATACAAATTATTACTTAAATACATAAAAATAATTATAATCAGAAAAGTGTTTCTTAAAATCCACAAAATCCAAAATATATTTCATACAAATTAGTGGTTAAAAATATTGATTTTATTTAGGATTTTCAATATTTGGTTTTGATATAATTTTTTTAAAACTTGGTCTTAAAGTATCATTTTAATTACAATTTCCATTATTTTGAGATTTATTAATATATTAAGATATCATGCCTGTATGTGCTGTTGTCGCCTTTATATTGCATGAATATTATCTATTTTACATCATTTTTTTTCTGATATTTAAATTTTTAAGTGAGATATAAGTATTTTTAAATAATTATAATATTTCATACATTCATTTTCCATAGAAATTTATGTACCAAATAAAACCAATATAGAATCACAAATTAAGTTCATACTTTTAAGTTTGATAAGGAGTCAATTAATTCTAATATTTAAACAGCAAAAACTGGTACAGTGACTAGGGATGGCAATTTTGTTGTGAACATCAATGTGTTATTATGAGTTAAGTATTATCAAGTTTAAATAAAAATCAATGTATTTGGGAAAAAATTGTTAATCTGAAATATAAAGGAAATAATTGCCCTTTACCATAGATACATTAAAGAAACATTCAGTGCATATTACTTAATATTCAAACATCAAATATAATCTATAGCTACTCAGCTTCCAGGAATCATGTATGCATAGGAATTGTACGTAAGAATACCCTTACATTGAAGACAAGCAACATTATTTTGGGAAAGCTTTAACATTGATGCAAAATATCAAAACTAAACCATCAATGACAAAAGATAGATTATTTTAGTTTCAAACATCAATTTTTCAAAAGTATCAATGTTCTATTAACATCCCTAACTGCCAAACATTTATAAAGTGAATACATCACATGCGCGCATAAATTCTGTTTAAAGGTCTCTTTTGTTAGATGCTGAGCTTATATAAAATTTAATTGTAGGCGTTCAGTTTAAAATTAGGAATATAATTTGAGAATAAATGCAACATACTTCAAACTCTGCATCACTTGTCATTATGCCCCTTACTGTGACTAGTTGATACTGCTTAGACTTGAATGTTTGCATGGATTTTCTTATGTGTGCCATAGTTGACATTCCACCTTCTGTTCTTAATTTATCATAATGACCACTTGGATCTAATACTAAAAGCAAAATTGTGCCATCGGATAATTTTTCAACACCAACAACAGTTCGACTGTGACCTGAAAAAAAAACAAATCTTATCGAGTGACTCAATGTATCAACATAACGTAATTTAGATTTTTATGGAAACTTATATTTACCTTCATGTTGAATATAAACAGGAGGAATAAATTGTTTTTTTCTACTATTGCTGAAATGTTCATACAACCAATGAAACATTTCTGAATGATTATTTTTAGAACCAGTTGATTTATGGAAATCAAATATAAGTGTTCTGTAATATTAAATATTTTTTAATGCAATACATATAATATATACAACCTGTCACACGAAGATATACCCCTTGAATATCTCCAAAGATAATCCAGATAATCAAATTAGGTTTTTTTTTTTTTTGGTAAACACATAGATTTTAAACTTTTAGTTTCTAGGTAACAGCTGTTTTAAACTCTACTAATCCGTGTGAAAATCGATGTTATCTTGGAAATAACATAATTACGTAACGCAATAACGGGTAACTTAGAAAACAAATTGGATATAAATTTGGGATACATTAAAATTTTCCGAAAATAATAAAATAAAATAACTTTTTTTATTAAGAAAAAATGTTTAATTCAAAAATAAATATTTATAGTCCTCATCCCTGTAAGTAATATAAAAAAAAAAATCATAATTTTATTATCTTTATTAACTCTGGAGATATTCAAGGGGAATATCTTCGCGGGACAGTCTGTATATCAATCAATTTATTTGTATAACACTGAAAAAACAAATAACACCATAATTTAAAAATACTTACTTAATTTTTAAAGCAGTTAGCATAGCAACAACTTCAGTAGCGCCGATCCATTTTTTTGTATTATATACTGTACCACCCAACTGTTCTCTACCGGGTTCATCAATACCCATGCTCCATGATTTTTCTAAATGTTGCTGTAATCTCGATATAGATGGCATCCATGCACGTGGTAAAGGTCCTTTTTCCACTTCCCATACTCTAGATATATGTTCATTATAGTCCATTTGTAAAAGCATACTGGACATTAACATCTGCATATTTCTATAACCACATCCCCAACCTCTGTCCCCGTAAGTTGATCTGTAATGATCAGTTGGAGAAGCCAAATGTACTTCAATTACATTAGGAGATGTTGCACTGAAGTGACGAATATATTCAATTAAATCTAAAACAATTAGAAGATGTTATTAGTTTTATTTAAAACATATTTTATTCATCGATAAAAAACGTAATACATAAATGCATTAAACCAATATTTAAGGTAAATAAACCTATTTACCTTAAATAGTAAATACATTTTATAATTGATGCTTACTATATGATGTATTTTTGTTAATAGAATATTTTTCATATTTTTGAAAAGTTTACCCAATTTATTTAATTGAATTATTTTATTATATTTAATTGCGTATGCTGGTGAGTTAGCATTATGATTATATTTCTTTGGTAAACATTTATTTTTTATTAATGACTGTGAATTTTGATGTAATTGAATTTTAGTTATTAAAAGTAAATTGTAATTTACCAGGATATGAATTCCAATGAATATTATATCTACTATTTTCAAAAAAATATTTCATTTTAGATTTTGAAAGGAGCGACTAATTCCAGAAAAAATATTTACTGAAAATATTTAAAAATTACATGCAATTTTTATCATCAAATATTCTAATGTATACAGCAAATTAATTTAATAACATAGATCTATTCCACACATTTTAAGAATTAGCTATATATGTTTCCATTGATAATTAATTGTTTCTTTTATATTTGTACTAAAATTATGTATTTTATTTAATATAGTACGTAACTTTTTATTATGGAAATTCACTATTTTAACAATACATTTATTTTACTAAAATTAGTACCCAAGTTATAGTAAACATAATAAACACATTTGATTATTAAATAATTTATGATTATTTATTTTAGAATTCTTTAAGCAAGCTTATGAGTTGATTTTGGATTTAACTACTAACTTATGTAAATTTATTGTAAAAACCCTAGGTATGTCTAACACTATATAAGATGAAAATCTTTACCATTTTTAGTAGTAAAGTGAACTTAGAATAGAATAATATTAATATATCTAAATAATACTTTAACATTCCTAGATCAATAAAGGTTACAGATATACGCATAGGGATTAATTTTAAAGAAAATGTTTTTTTTTCATGTAAATGAAAAAATGTGTAGATTATCTAATAACCAACATAATATAAAATATGATTTGTAATGTTCAGGTACCAATGATTAGTTGTGTTAAGTCTATAAACTATGAAAAACTTTACAAGGAATATTATTTTATTTATTGTAATGCTTAATTTTGAATGGGATTGGTGCATCAAGGTGTGATGCACCATGAGTACTATCGCAATCATTAGAATTTGACTGTGTTGGCCATTTATATCTTTTATCTGTGGACAGATCTGAATACTTTTAATATTAAAAACATACCTCTAGTAGCTGATGCACCAGTATCAAGTCCTTTACTTTCAGCCATTTTTATTTCATATATTTTTTCATAATAATCATAAACTGATAACTGACCACTAGATACAGCTTCTTGTAAATTAGTCATAGTCTGCTGATTATAATTGCCTTTATTATCCATACCATAAGCAGCTTGTAACTTTTGAAAGTCTTCTTGCTCCTTTTGTTTCATACGTTCACGTTCTTGTTTTTCCAATTGCTTAGCCAATAACTGATCATGATTTGGTAAATGATCATGCGAAGGTGGTGTTGAACCTATAATAACATAAGAACAAACTTATCAATTTATATAATTTTAAGAACAAATTATCATAAAAATGCAAAAGAAACATGATTTTAAACTTAAAAAAACATTTAACTATTTGTTAATACCTAATAAAGAATTAGAATATTCTTTCTGACAAAAATAAAATGTACATTTTCCCCAAACCAAGAAAACTTTAATAATATCTAAAATGGAGATGGATTTTTTTTTTTAAAATTAAACTGCTTAAAAGCTTTTATTATAATGATCAAAGATATTCAATAATAAACTTCAATAATTTTGAAATACTTGTGGTATATTTATTTAATAATAATAATAATAAAAAACATATTAAGAGTTTCACTTTTAGTGGTGTGGCCTCCGTCTAACAATCTTATACTAAGTCATATAGTCTACATTGAGACACCTTATGTCTTGAGAGTTATCAAGTATTTGAATTTCTACTAAATTAGTGTGGTAATCCAGCCTTATCTCATGTTTGGCAGGCAAACTTAGTAATCACGTTGTAGATAGAAGTAATCATCATATCTCGGTGTAAAATGTTGTTTCTTTCATACCTATAAGTTGTGACAATTGTAAGGAGAGCAATATTTTGACAGCGTTAAATATTTACAATGTTAGACTTGCTAGCACAACCTCACAGTTGTATTTCATATTAAGTTGTAAGTCCATATTGGTTTACCTACCATTACGTACAATGAACGTTTACTTGTAAAGTCTAGTTCAGAATGTCTTCCGACCAACTAATATAGTTGTCACATTCTCTTTTTAATTTGTAGTTTTTTCTGGTAAACATGGTGTTTCCAGTTGAGTCAAGAGTCAAGGTGCATACCTGGTGTACATATCTTTATTGTTTTCCCGTGGGTTTCAATCTACAAAAATAATGGTAGGCTTATGTATGATCACTCGCTATTTTTGTTTTTAGGATCAGATTTTTTTTAATGTGTATATTGGTTATTTTGATTACTTTGTGGCCTTGGTCGTACAGTTTATCACTTAGTTATTATTTCCATATTTAAATCGTGATTTATACCTTGAAATGGTTTTTCACTTCTTAATTGGTACCAATAATATTCAACATTATTTTCTTCTAATATTTGTATTGTACTTCTGAATTGGCTTTCATTTGTTGTTAAGATTCTCATCTTGTCATTTAATAAAACTTTGAATTTGTTGTTCATTTCCTACTGGTTCTTTACACGTTACTAATTGTTTCAATTTATTAAAAATATTTAAAACCTTTGATAGTTAGTTATTAGTGGGGACTTATATATTTGTTGAGGATTAACATTAATTGGGTTTTTAATTCTTATTTGTATAGCTTTGAAAGTTATGTTAATATCTTTTGAAACTTATGTTTTGGAAAAAGAGATTTTTTTCTAAAGCTTAGACCTCTAAATTAGAAATAAATGCTCTATCCTTATTACCGAACTCTTAATTTATAAATCTCTACTCAACCGATATGGACATTTGGACTTGTGAGTGCTGCAAAAAAATCGAACACTAATAAGATATAAGCATTCTAAAATATATATTTCCAAAGGCTTTCCAATGCTCTGCCATATATATCTAATTTGACTTTCTATAATAACCTTCATATGCGAATAGTAAAGGAGGAAGCACATATACACTTTCTGAGAATTCTAATCACAGATTAAAAAGTGGCGTCGAGACTTCTTGTAAAATAATATCTAATGTTTTCTTATTAAAAAAAAATACATATCATAATATATTTATTATATAAACTTATTGTGCTAATTTATATGGATTGTTTATGTCAAATAAAAATATATAAAAAAAAGTAATATGTTGTTAATACCTATTAGTTGAATATAATCAGTTTATATAACACCCTAGCCTACATGACTACATATTCATTTCAACAGTTTAAACTAACAGTTGACAACTGGCAGAAAACTGGACCATCAACATAATATCTTACATTAAAAGATAATTTTAATTGAAATTATTTTTGTAATTATTGATATTACAAAAATGTATAATCTAAATTCTAGGTTAATTCTATTTAATATTGTAACTTTTGTAATGTATTTTAGTAATAAATAGTCAATCTGTATTATTTTTTCTAGACCTCATTTATTTATTAGTTTCAATTCCTAGACTCAAATAAAAATTACTTGTAGTTTATACCAGTGATGTGCAACCTAGGGATCACGAAATTCAAACAGGGGGTCACCAAATTTTTACACCAAATGAAAGTTATACATACATATTATTTTATATAACATAATATTTCTTGTATCGTATCAATTGTAATATATTATATTACTATCTTAATATTGTGACTATGAATCATTATTGAATCATGCAGTATATATGTTGTTTTTAAATTTAATCAGAAATTACTTTATTTTGCAACACTAGCGATAATAAAAATTTTTTTTTTTATATTTATGGTTGAAACCTTTACAGGAGTGTACCCAACAACTTCCCAAAATTTCATAATAATCAAATGAATAGTGTAGTAATTCATAAAGAACAAATACACATACATTAATTTATATACAGAATTTTTTTTATCGTGGACCATCATTTTCTCAAAGAATTTTAAGTAAATTTGATTCCTGTTTTTTTTTCTACATTGAGGAATCGGTAAAGCATTATTTTAAAAATATTTTTTAATTTTTAATTCTACTCCCATATACCTGAAAATAAATATATACTTTTTTTTAAAAAAGATAAAAAAGAACACTTATTTAATATTTTAAGGTACATGGAGTAAGGATAAATAATTAAAAATGGTTTTAAAATAAAGTTAAAACAATTTTACAATGATCCAAAAAATAGAAACAATTAATTAATTAATCAAATTCACATAAAAACTTCAGTGATAATTGTTATTCATTAATAATTGTTGGTTCATGATAAAAAAATCACTTTGTATAAAATATCTAATATTTGTGATCTTAAATAAATTAGAAGTGGTGGTTTTCTATCTTTGTCTTACATACTCGCAACATAGGAATTTAGACATGTTCTATTTTTTTTTTCCAATTAACCGACAGCAATGGGGGATCAGTTTACACATTGCTACCCTATAAACGTGTTTTATTTCCAACATATTAATTGGCCTAGTGAAGGTTCTGAAAACAGATTTTAATTTTTCTTCAAGTCTACTTGAAATCGACTTACCACTTTTTTGATTTTAATTTTTTTAATTATTATTTTTTTTAGGATTTAGGAGGATAAAATCAAAAAGTTGGGAAATTCAGTTGCAAATAGATTTGAAGACAAATTCAAATTTGTTTTCAGAATTTTTATATAGCTTTACTAAACAAATCAGTACAGTAAAAATAGAACACGCCTAAATTCCTAAGTTATGAAAATCACTGCTTCCAATCCCTTTGAATCTTAAATAATAAAAATAAAATAATCATTTAACTATAAATAAAATAAAAATGTAAAATCCCAGGTGAAATTTAATAATGAACTACAAAGGTGTATTCTACTTATAAATAGTTCTGAAATTTGTTTATAAGTAATAATATTAATTATATATTAAGTAGAAACATTAAATACATAAATACCAAACAAAAATGTTTCTTTTACTTAGATATTATGTAAAATTATGATAGTAATAAATTGTACCTCGGTAATGTTGTTCAATGTGTGCGTCCAAATCTCTTAAGCTATCAAAATTTTTCATTCCACATATCACACAACCTTCGTTAATATTTTCCAACAACGGTATTCTTTGACTATCTGAGTCCTATACATAAAAATAAAATCAATCCAAAATAGTGTACCAAAATTATTTAAACTATATTACCGCTTGTGGGCTAACAATATCATGATGTTCTTCGTTAATATGAGTTTCAAGATTATCACAATGGTCGAAAGCCAATGGGCATATTGGGCAAGGAAAGTCTACAGTACCAGGTCGCCGAGGACTACCTGGATCAAAATGCATACGATTGACATGCTGTTGTAGACGATCAGTGTCCAGGTCCACATAATCGCATAGTGGACACCTTACATCGGAGTCCGAATCCAATTTTCGTCGTTTAGACGATGAACCTACGATTGGCGATGGACTTGTGGACGAATGTACATGTCGTTCTGTTATATGATTCGACAATTTATTTTCGGTCAAAAAAGATTCGCCACATATCTCGCACACCGTCTTCGATCTCAAAGACATTCTTTGCACTTTAAAAACATAAAAATCTTTTTAAAAGTCCAAAAGAAAAGAGAAAAAAGGGAGTTTTCAAATAAAACAAAACAGGCCAGAAATTAATTTTAGATTCCTTTTATTCTATATGAATTACAATTCGATTATCAATATTGCAAAATAAGATAACAATGGTACGTAGTTAGCCAACGTTATGAGTTTTTACTTTCTCAGTATTTCGATTTTAACGAGTAAGTAGGAATCGTTTTTATATTATTAATAAATCATAAAATAATATTGAAGTAAGAGAAATAATTTGACAGTTTCAAATTGTTCTTAAAGTTTCATTAAATAAATCTCCAAAATGTATTAATGACATGTTAGATAGCAAATAAGATGGTAACACTTACTTTTGATACTAAAACATATGATTTACTCCTGTTGACGTTTCCTACCTTTTCTCCGTCATAACTCTAAACGTAATAACTCATAACAAATTAGCCTAAACAACCAACAAGGAAAACTTAAAAACATTAAACAGTAGTGCTTAACTTTACTATTTTATAATGTACTTTATGATTGTACTACGGTTTATACAATAAATCAAAAATTGTTATTAATTTTATAATACACTAATAAAAACTTATCATCTGTCAACAAATTTTATTTGTATAAACTATACAATGGCAGACGAGCTGATCAATTACAAATTGCAACTGCAGCAGGTAACTTGTTTTTTCTATAATAAATCATTCTTATATTACTAATGTCAAATAAACCGAACATAGTCATTCAGAATAACATTTTATTTAACAATATGTTATCTTATTATGTTTTAATCTAAATTAAATTATATATATTTTGTATTTTAATTTGTATAAACATCCAATACCTATTTCCTAATCAAATAAATGTAGATGTTATTCTAGAGTTCATTAGCAAGAATGTTATGTCTGGAATATAAAATGTTTCTGAAATATAGCATTAAAAATAATTTAATTGCATTATTATACTTGAGTCATTTATAAAATGTGAATTGTACCTATTTCAGTTAATCCTATTTATCGTAATAAAAGCTCATCTTAAGTAGTTGGGATGAAGGTGGAGGAGAAGAAGAAAGTTATTAAACAATAATCAAGACTTTCTTTTATAGTTTTGTTTTTAAAATAAGCTTCTAATTGGTAGACCAGTAAATAGCTTAGAATAGGAAGAAATCAGCAACTCTAGTATATCCAATCTAGAGTAAATAAATATTCATATAATTATGTAAACTGCATAATAACAATATAATTTAAAAATTGTTTATAAAAATATTTTCGTATTGCCCAAAAATGTTCTTAATATGCAATTTATAAAACACCTGATAAGATTTGGAAATTAATTCAATTTTGTTATTAGGTCAGAGATTCCCAAACTTTTTATAGCGCGAATTTATTTTGAAAATAATTTAAACTTCAGCGACCCACAACAATATCAATGACTTGTTTTGTTTATTTTTCATTTGTGGATGATTCATGAAATTTGTTCAGTCGTATACTCTCATTTACAAGTATAGATCCAATTTTCTGGTAGAAATTTAGTTCACAGGAGAAAAAAAAGCTGTATTGTTGTTTAATTTAAATTAATATCTACATTTTATACATTTTTCTGTTTTTCATCAGTTTTATAATGTTTTTACAATATATTGGGAAAATAAAAAAATGGCCATTCTAAAGTACCTCTCTAATCCGATTTTCTTTCAGAAAAAGTGCCATTTTTGTAAATTGGAGTAAGATTTCAGATAGAAAATTGTTCACAAATAGTAAAAAATTATGAATAAATTAACATCATTGTAAATCATTATATTCCTAGTTCCATTATAAATCTAAAAAATTTATTATATAAAAATATTATCATGATTCCACACTTGGGAACCTCTGACATAGGTAGGTAATTTATATAATTCTTTATGTAATTATTTAATAATAAATCTGGCTATATTTTTAACACTTTCGTATATAATACCTTAAATATATGATGTTTCATAATACAATTACAAACTAATAAGATTTTTGAAGACTATTAATAATTAAAAATTATAATGTGGTCTTCTTATATATTAATATATTAATAATAATTAAAAAGTATCTATTTTATTATATGGATTTATTTTTACCTACCTACCAAATTATAAAAATTATTTAAAAAGTAAAAAATGATTACAATTCTAATTAATTACTTTATTGTGACAACTTTCACCGTCAACATTTTTTTTTTTTTAAAACTAAACAGATGCTGAATTCGGAAACATTTTTAGCATCATCTGTATCTTACATCGGCTTCATCCAAAGCATTAAGGTATTACAATTAGGGAATAAATTAATTACACTATAATTTCTAATTTCTCCCGGTTTATAAAATTGTAGAGAAAATTTGCTGTCCATAAAAGTCTTGAACTTCAGATTTGTTATACCCAATTCACCGGGCAACGGCAGTTGGAACCATTTTAGCTGATATTTATGCACCAACTGATTGGTTACTGTAAAAACAAATAACCATGGTCTGTATTTAAATAAAAGTACTCCTGGTTGAGAATTTAGAAATTATTATTATAAGATTTTCGGAATTTTTAGGATTCAGTCATGTTGAACAGTCCACATCCGGATGTTATCGTATGTACGCACCGGTAAGGTTTGGCTGGCAAATCTATGGTTTACTGACTATAGTATAATATATCAATTTTATCAATTAAATTTATTGATTTAGGCCCCAATTAATTATTCTGGGGAATAATTTTTACAATAATTTTATTTCTACCATTTCAACTTGTTATTTTATTTATAGGTAGAAGCTGCCTTAACCAATAGCCCTGATGATCCAGAACTTACAAAACTAAAAACTGATTTAGAAGAAGTTATTGAACTTACAACTGAACTTGTTAGAACACAAACCCAACCAAAGAAAGAAGTTGGTATGTTTAATAGAATGAACAAAATTATATTAATTGAATAACAATATTTTATTATAGTTATAAATTGCCGTGTAATATACTTCATAATGACTTTTTTGATTATATGTATTATATTTTAGTCCAAACTAAGAAGGAATCTACATATCAACCTGATATATTACCATCTGTTACTAAGACGAAGGGTGAATGGAAATCAGGGGACAGATGTTTAGCACAACTAGCTGATGATGGAAAATTCTATGAAGGCACCATTGAAACTATTGATGGAGAAGCTGTGGCAGTTCTTATAGATGGACAAAAAGCTGCTGCGGTAACAACAATGGATTTTATTAAAGATTTACCAAGAACTCATCCTAATGAAATGAAACACAAGTAAATTGTAACATATTTTATTTGTCCTAAAATTATTCAATTTTTATTTTTGTAGAAAACAACCAGTAGCCAAATATAGAGAATACCAAAAGAAAAGAAAACTTGCTAAACAGCAGAGGTTCAAACAATTAGAAGAAGAGCGAGAAGTTGAAAAAAATAAATGGCTTGCATTTGCTACTAAAGTATGTGTTATTTTATATAATATCTATTGATTATTTATTAAATTATTTGTATACTAAACTATGAGATTTTTAAAAAAAAACATAGTATTTTTTAAGAAAACATTAATTTTAAAATACTAATGGGTTAGTAATCTAATTATTTCAACACATAACAAAATTATTATTTTTTAATCACTTAATAAAATATTTTAAAAAAAGAACTTAATAACATAATGCTTAAAATGGCCCTTACAAGATCAATAATATTGTCAATATTTCTATCAATAATATTAACAGAACCTTATTGAAGTGAGTATTCATCATTTAGAAGAATATTGACACAAATTATTAATTATTAAAGAAGAATGATACACATCTTGATGGGCATGATTGACAGAACATATTGAATTTCTAAGAGTGTTAATTGTCAATATTTCCATAATTTTTGTCAGTTACCTGGTAGACAGCATGGTAGAAGTAGTGTTACTGCATTTTCTTTATAATATTAATCTGAGATTAAATGGATATTGATGGTTTTATTTTAAAAGCAGATTGAAGTCCATCGATATGCGTGTCAATTGATATATTATTGATCTTATAGGGCAGTGGTTTTCAGCCTGTACATTGCGTCTCCCATGAGCTTCGTGGTTTAGTATCAAGGAATCTGTGTCTATAGTAAATATAGTAGAGTAATGCCGTAAATTTATTTATATACATTTTTATATTATTATCATTATTCATAAGGGAGCCACTAAATTGGATTTTAAAATCGGAAGACCCGTGGACTCAAAAAGGTTGAAAACCACAAATATAGGGGTTTAAATAATTTTTTTTTTTTTACTGATTTCAAGCTCTAATTTGAATACCTATCATAAAACAACAAACAAATAATTATATTTTATTATATAATAACTTATATTTTAAGTCTTATTAAGTCATAGTTTTAACATTTTATTTATCATTTTAAATTGATTAGTAGATTTAATATTAATTTATTTTATGTTTAGGGTGTGAAAAAGGGTATACCAAAAAAGAGTATATTTGCCTCCCCTGACAATGTAAATGGACGTGTTGGTATTGGCACCTGTGGATTAGGTGGAAAAGGTATGACAGAGTTCCCCACAGCAGAAAAAAGAAAAAAATAAGACTGTAATTAACAAACTAAATTTAAAAATTTGTAAAAATGATAAATATGCTTATATTATGTTTTATGCTATCATATCAATATGCTTTTTTTGATGTTTAGTTAGTAATTTTAAAAAAAATCTTGATTATTGTTCATATAAATATGTGTACATTCTTTTCATAAAAATATAAGGTATATTATTTTGTTTGTCATTCAATTGAATATATTTTTTAAAACTTCATATTTTAGAGATTCTTGAGATAACACATCAACCACTCAATATGTTGTGGACACATAAAACTACCAATCCGTATTACAGGTGAAAATGAGTCAACCCATATTTTAAGTAAATTATGTCTAAACCAAAACATAAATTAGGCGAAATGTATTTTAACCAAATCATATTTCAACTGAAAATAAATTGATCCAAACCGTATTTTAGTAGAAATTTATTGCAGTCGAAAATAACTACTGTGTACTACTACTAAATACTGTGCACGCCTACTCTAGTGCTCTTGTTTTACAATTAGGTTAAAATATGTTTCATCTAATATAATCATATATATTTGGTTGAATTACATTTCGGTTAAAATATATATTGACGACCAACATCTTTTTGGCTGTTTTGTAGCTCTACAATATGATTATTTGATATACATTTGCATCCATAATGGTATTTAATCTATTTAGTGGTAACATTGGGAATACCCACACTATAATTCCTGTGATGCTTTGTAATTTGTATCATGCAACACATACCTACTCAATAATTTTTTTTAACTTTATAAATTAAAACATGTATATTATGTACACTACAATAAAATATTTTATAAGCATGTATGCTTAATTAGCATATATTATGCCCTATCATATTCTTTCTCGAGGTATTTTAATATATTATAATACTTATATATTAATATTATAATAATATATATTATATATATAATAATTTACTTGATAGTCACTTTCACCAGCATTATTATTATTGTTATGTTAAAATATATTATAGGTATGTCTACTCGGCCAATTATGTTACTTTGTTGCAGACCGTGTTAGGGAGCAGTGCATTACTGCATTACTTATCAACATTTAAATTATTGTGAAAAGGACTTTTCCTAGCTTCGAGTACAAACCCAGTCAGTGTTTAAATAAAACATTGTGTTATATTTAGAAAAATGAATTTGTGTTTAATTATTTCAATATTTTTTAAGTATAAACATGTTATCACCATGTTACTAGCATTTCGTAGTACTTACTCACTGGTCAATGTAGGTATACATACTCGCTTAGGTTATTGATTGATTCATTACACGTTATCATGTTCTTTTGATATCAAAGATAATGAAATATAGAACTATCCTCCTTAGCTGAACAGCATCAGGAAATACCGCGATCATTAGACTAAGACATCGTGATTGGAGGAGGTATTTTGGTGTTAAAACACCGAAACGCACAAAAACGTAATATTCTCTTGGCCGTTTGATTAGTAAAATGTATTACCAAAGGTTATGGTTATGTTCTGTGATTTACTCTAAGGAATAACCCTGCAGCAATATATATATCAGGTAATTATTTACGTTTCTAGTAATTTTTCATAACTAAAATTTTCTAGGACAAATTCAGTGGAGATTCAGACAGAAATATTTTAATTTTCTATTATCTTAAAAAAAAGATTCTACTAACAAATTTTGAGTTCTTTTTTAGATGCTATAATTTTCTGATTAAAAATTAAAATATTAATATTTATATATAATGTCCTGCACCAAAATAATCAAGGCAAAACAAGAATTTATTATTTTTTATTGTACTACTTTGTGAGAGCAATTAATAGTGCTACCTTGTCTTTTTTACAAAAGTAAGATGGCACTTTTAGTTTGATGCCTACCAAAATTGCTGCTTTTTCTTTAGGTTTATTGGCCTCAAAATGTTAGCGATCGATATTAGATTTTTATTAATTTATTCCTAATCCTTTGGAATATAAATATAAATAATACACGAGTTTTTCCTAGACTCAGTTTACAATAATGCATAGGTAGTACCTAGTTTTATTGCCAATATTGTGCACGTGATTAAAATTAAATTAAAAATATTCATGCTATTGGAATTTTTATTACTAAATAGCTATATTTATATGAGTTATCTAAAACTACCTTTCCGTAATGTTAATAGGAAATCAGTCGGTTGTTTTTTTTATTTCAGAATATAACAATACTACCTACCACCTAACTAAAACATTTCTATTTGGTAGTTAATTGCAAGGATAACACTAAGTAATTAGAAAGTTGGAAGTTAATTTTGTCTGCAACTTTTAACTCAACTAGTTACTTTGCTTAAATTGTAACTAAGTAAGTAACTTAACTAGTTGTATTTTCCCAGTAAATATTAAGTAACTTAACAAGTTATTTTTAAAATATACAAAAGTTATTCTTACAAAATGTGTAGGTTACTTTTGTTTTAAAAAAGACACGACGGGTAGACCACTGTTGTAGGTGAAAAGTTGAGAAGGTAGGATATAGGAGGAATTTCATGTATATTTGTACGCAACGAATTAATCATTGCGAACGAAAAACGATTCGGAGCCGAATTCGGTTATACATGTTTTAAAAGGCCGTAATATTTACGAAAATTCCCTTCATAATAATGTGTTCTATGTATTTTATAATGGATACTTTAACTCTGAAATTAACATTAAGCTAGCTTTACTTATTCTGTGTAAACATTGTGTTTACAATATAAGTACTTTTGTTTTTAAAAGTTTATAACTTTTGGCGCAACTTTTATTTATATTTTAGATTTGAGCGGGGAGATTAATGTATTGGTTTTACAATGTTACAGCTGCAGAGTGAATTCCCCGCACGAATTAAAATATTTAAGTGTATCTTAATTCGTGATTCCCCACTTAATGAATACAATTATTAACATTAATCCGTTAGATAGTGACACGTGTGCATCACTATTCCCTGTTCGGTCATTAAGAGCACGGATTCCATTACCAAGTTGCCAGACTTAATACCTAGTTTACATTCAGCCGCTGCCATTTCTACTCGCGCTGCAGTATTTACTCCTCAAAATACTTCTGTGACAGCGTCGACGGCAGTGAGTGTATACATTGCCCTGTTAATTATAGCAGCGCGAGCAGCAATTGGCCGGATTGATCGCATTGCCGGTTATGTTGCTGCTCGCGCTGCTCAGTTTACCGCTCTTGACGGGAGCGTCGGGCAGCGTCAATGCGAGGAGCATGATCAACGCGAGTGATGTGTTTACATACTCGCGCTGCCCATTTTTATGCTCACTTCCCTGCTCACTACCCTGCTCACTACCACGGAAGTGGGCTGAATGTAAACTAGGTATAAGACCGTGTATACAGCCATACAGGACTGGACACAAACAAGGTTAGAGAGTTGACTATGCAATGTTATAGAACGGGGGAATTCACCTTTCTAGCATTACTAGCTCCGTCTTAGTGGATACTTATGGAACTATATAGTATTGGGATACAATATCCCAAATCTGGTTACATTATGTTTAAGACACCCACACGAATTAAGATATCTTCACCCAGATAGATAAAACTATTAATAGAAAGGCAAATTCTCCCGTACTCCGTCCAACTGCTATAACATTTCGTAACCATAATAATTTTCCAGTATTGTATATCTTAGTCCGTGATGATAACAGTCATATATTGAATTATTATTGATTGTTGATTAAGATTGACAATATTCGTGTGTACCACTTAAATTTATAATTTGATCGTTTTAAAAATGTTGATTTTTTTTTTATTTGTGAACAACTTTTCTACTAGAAACTTTGCTCTGATTTTCAATTATAACACTTTTTCTGAAAGGAAATCTGACTAGGGTGGTACTTTCTTTAAGAAAGTCAATTTTTTTAATTTTCCTGACTGTTTTCATAATAAATAGAAAAAAGCGTAGGAAAACCGGGACAATATTAAACAAATGTAATAAACAAAGAAAATATATAATACATGGCGTGTAATTATTTTACCTTAATATAACATAGGTAGGTACTTAAGTATAAATTGTTAACAAAGCATTGTTGAAAATCGGTATTAATTATTCATTTTACAAATTTACGAATATAGCTCTTGTTTAAAAGTACAATAATATACATGAGATAATAGTTTTAAGATTATAACATATTATATAGTAACAGAAAAAACGAACCATATCTACGGACTTACTGCTTTCAGTAAACCATCAATAATCGTAGTGTTTGTAATTGTTAATGGAGTTTATGTATAGTGAAAAAAATAAGAAATTTGTCGTATTAGAGGGTTTTAAATTCATATATCGTAAAAAATTAGTAGTCAATATTGAACGTTAGACATGTGTACCAGAGCTCTGCATCGGCCGATATTTTTATGCCCAACCCAGCTCATGTCCCGTTATGAAAAACCTGGCCTATTAGAGCCTTTCGGTGTTCTAATTTATCCCGAAATTGGAATTTCAAAAATAAACCCACCAGGCCTTGTCCATTTTAATAAATATCCAGTCCGGCGCAGCGAAAGCCCATCCAAATCCAATCAGGCTCAGTGAATGCCGGTTTAAGCCCATACTTAGACCGAACTATCGAAACAATTGTATATATTACATGGCAATATTTCTTATATCATTATATTCAACATTCCAACATTTATTATTTAATAGTTACTAGGAATCTATTTAAAAATATACGGATAGTTAAAAGAATAATAATCTGTAAATTAAAAATGTCTAATTAATTAATCACATTATTAATATTATAGCTATAATACATATAATCTCAATACATAGATTACAACAACGACGACGCTATATGATAGCTATTTCCGATGACGATCAATTTAAAAGTTATCTAATAAATTTATAATTAAATTCTAAATAATCCAATTGGTACGTATTATGTATAATATACATTAATAATACAGTCGTCAGTTACATATAATACAATCTTTCCTCCCATATTATTCATTTTTGGCCGACCAAAAATGTTTCAATTAATAATATAAAATCCCAATCCATAAAAAGCCATTTACTGTTCTAATTTTTGAAACCCAAACCCTCCTAAACTTAATTTAAAAAGTAAAGCCCAATGCCCACTTGGACCCGTCCACTTATGAGAAATAGGAGAGGGAGAGGAGGTTTGCTTATAATAATAGAACATAGACTATATATATTGTAAACAACTTAGTTAAATGGTACCTTTGGACTACCAATGGTACCAATGGACAATTGGGAGGAGGTGGGTTATGACTCCCTCCTGCGTGTACCACTAGTATAGTATTTGTAGACTATAATAGTGACTATAGTAGACTATAGTAGACTATAGTCACTTTGTATCTTAGCTAAACTAACCTTTATATTTCAGATATTGTTTTATTGTAACAAAAAATATTAATAAAATAGGAACAATAGATCAAAAAACTTGGTGGATATGCTGCAATATTATTATCGGTGTATCTAAATACGGACCCGGAAATTTCCGTCACTGAGCAGGGACGGATAGACATGATCTATTCGGCCTGGGAAAAATATAATCTTCTTATATGAAGTTCTAGAATTTGAACATGGTATAATAAGGGAGGTATTTAAATGATAATGAACACATTTTCATTTTAATTATTTTTATTGATTTTGTAAAATAAATATGTAAGTAAATATATTTACTTAAATACCAGTGTTCTTTACTCATTGAAAACCGAAGACTTGTAAAAACAAACTAGGTTTTTTTTTTTTTAAATTAAATATTCAATAGCATTATTTTCTTTTATATTATTAGATCTGTTGATAATGTCAAATAAAGTATCTACTTGATATCGTATACTTGAATAATAGATTATGTTACTTCATGACATTTTGATGTATCTACAATGCAGTGGCAGATTTAAGATGGAGGAAATGGTCCAGGGGGTCTGGACTTCCCCTAGATACCGATATAATTTCAATAAAATGTCATGTAAAACGAAGTATCTATTAATATAGGGTATCCATCACGAAAGCATATTTTTTTTTTAAATGTGTACCATTTTTTTTGTTTTTGGGTCGGTACCACTGTACCCGAAAGTTTTCTTATCTCAAAAACTTGAAGTTTTGTATGGTATCGTTCGTTTTTGTTTTTGAGTGTTTTGAATATGTCCGTAACCATGGAAAGATTGTCTATGGAAACGCACGTTTTGGTTTCCGGACAGACTCATCTCATTGTGTGGGGGGGGACCAAAGCTGGCCACCATGGTGTTTCATTCGTTAACTTCGGAATTTCCTGATTACAACTTCATACGACTTTTAAATTCTAATCAAAAATAAAAACGTTATTGCATTTTTTTAAAAAAAAAAACGTTCTTCCGTAGACATTCTTTAGACACATTGAAATAAATATTATTTTTCAGGACCTTTCCTAAAAAATGTTTGAAAGTCTGGTACTATTGCAATGTATGTGTGTGTGTGTGTGTGTGTGTTTGTCTCATATGAGTGTATACTATTTGTATACCTACGTACTTATGCTGCATAGCAGGGGTGGTCAAACTGTCAATCGCGATCAACCAGCAGATCGCAGATGATTTAAATGTCGATTTCCATTTTATTAGAATTTAATTTTATGTAATTACTAATTAATATAAATAAATAACAATTGCTGAACATTTTATCTTAATATATTATTTTTATTTTGTTATAAATTTATCAAGCAATACAATTACAACTATACATTTTAGTTTTATTATTTTGTATGTGTATTAATACTTATTAGATAATTTATAATTATATTTTTTTGTTAAGAAGCGATCCTCAAAGGGAAAATATATTATTAGTATAGATATCTACCAAAAAAAGTTTGGCTACCCTTGCTGTACAGTGTTTATTATTGTAATACTATTATATTGAAATATACCTACGTTTTACTTTTAAAAATTATAAAACGTATACGTCTAAATATTGGATATTACCTCTGCGTTAATATTACAAACCTTTAAGGCTTTATTAACCTACAGTCTAAAACCAAAAGTATTTGAAATACTTCATAGTACTAGTATTTACTTGAGTAGTATTTTAAATACTTTAAACAAATTACCTAAGTACCTTTTTAACTATTCCAATACATTATAAAAGTATTCATTTAATACTGGTAGGTACATAATATGTCACAATATCAGATATTATACAAATATGATGAAATGACAAAATTATATTCGAAGCATAATGTTTTTATTATTCTATGGTGAGAAACCGAAGAAAATAAATACGTGTTTTTAAAACTAAAATCTAAACCGGGAAAAGTTAAACATTTTAGAAATCAAAACTGAAAAAAATATAAACTGAAATCAAAATTGGTCAAATTTAAAACTGATGTGTATAATCGATATTGAAACTGGAAAATGTGAAAACCGGTACTTCAAACCGATAAACTCAAAAACCATAAATCGAAATAGAAACCAAAATGTATCATTTGGGTTCCAAGCCCTGTTAGTAGGTAGGTTAAAATACATATACTTAGATAAGTGCCTAATTATTTATATTTGTTATCGGTACAATAAAAATTGACAAACAGCGCTGTGATATTTAATAATAATTATTGATTATTGTTGTATTAGTAACTAGCACACGAGAATACTGGAAAAATACATCAGTAATAAAAGCCAAGCATAATATCCCAAAAATGTATTATTTTTCGTAATAGCAAAGCCCAGAAGGTAAAAATGACAAATTCAATATTGTCCAAGCTAAAGTAACAATATTGATCATTATTATTGTACTTTGTACCCCCAATCATTTATTACTATATTAACTAATAATTGAACTAACCGGAATTACAGAATTAGGTAGTGATCATTTACACAGATCATTTTTCAACATTTTTCATTCATTTACTTTTTGAAGTAAATACAAATAATGGAAATGGAAATTAGTTACCATTAACACTTGTCTTCTTGTTAAAGGGTGTCTATACATAGGTAGTTGTTTTTCCCTGTCCGTCTCTCGTGTAATTTACACATTACACTTCAACGATTGCGACTCTATGGTTAGTTTTTGAGCAAAGGGATCATATTTTTATAAAAAAGAATACTTACTATGCCTTGACGGATTGATTTTTTTAAAATAATTTCCTTTGTTTAATATGTTATTCATTTATTATGGTTTAAATTAAGAGAAATTAAGTTAAATTAAAACACGCATATTTTCATGATAAAACTGAAAATTTAATGTAGATGATGACATATGGATAATCTTTTTTTTAACACTCAACTTTTTATTAAAAATGTTAAAATTTTGCCGAGTATACCCTCAAAAAACTTGATAGGAACATTACAGGAAAAAAAGTTAATACTTTCCAAGATAATGAGTGTAGGTATCCACTTAGATGGATCACTCAAATAAACTCCATACATCTATTACAGTATCTATATTAACAATGTAAGTAGATAGGTTAGAAAGCGTTTCAAACTATTTAATTTATTTAATTTTTTTTTTAAATTATTATTTTTATATTAATTATTTTAAACTGACTAACATTTCTAACAGATTATTATGATGATTATCTGTAATCTATGTTTATGTGCATTGTATTTTGCTATTTAGAATTATCAATTAACCATTCATTCTATGTTACAGTGTAATTAACTAAATAATTATAAAATATTAATATTGGTATCAAAAATAATAGTACAATTAGATGGCATTCATGGCACACGGACTTTTATTTCCGTGGATTATTTTACCAGGCTGTGTTTACATTTTAGGTGGCTAAAAAATTTCGAAATATTGTATTTTTTTTGCAAGTCTGCCAATTTTGAAAGCTTGAAATCGCGCCATGTTCTACCCTCCGGTATCGATTACCTGGTAAACGTTCATCGAGCGAATTCTTATCACTACATAACAAAAATATTCGATTCTTATGTACATTTTTTTTATTATACTCCACATCAACTCTCATTGAATTATTAAATATTTAATTGCCATCATTTGCTGTATTGCGATAATAACTAATAACGTAATAACTGCGATTATGCGAACCATTGCCATACGATGACGTACTGAACCGACAGCACAATACATTATACTTCAGTTCTTCGGTGATGAACAATTCTACTGTACATGAAAAACATACAATGTCCAAGTTTTTGAAACTAGCTCACAAATTTAATAGTTTTTATTTGAATGGTACGTACGATATTCTCGTTGATCCATCATATAGTTTAAATTAATTTTTTGAACATTTTATTATACCAAGTGATATCCTATTTGTACCTACCTACTAACGGTAACATATTATTCTTTGTAAATATTTAGGCTTTCAGAAAAAAGAATGTCGTGCATTCATTGTGGATGGTATTCAAGTTGGTTTAGTCCGAGCTACCGTCACAATAGAATTAAGCCGTTATCCAAATGTATTTATCATCAACCCCAATAGTGTCACATTGAACCCAGCATTCAGGGATTACGATGAACGTTCTGCAAATATAGAGTCTGTACTTAAAGATATGAAAGACAAAAAGTTGTTTATAACGCTGAAAGGGTGGAGGGATGAGGTATTAACACAAGCTTTTATGCTTATAACAATAATTTTTATTTAATTATAAATATATTACTAACCTGGTTGTAAATATATTAGGTAATTGTTTTTATATATTATTTTCTATTAAGAAAACATTATTACCAAACTACTTTTTTCAATAAAAATTTAATAATATTAATTATTAAATATGTTTTTTGTAATTTAGTGTTATGAAGTGAGGACGATGTTTGCTGACCAACCTTTGTTAAAAATGGATCGGTCTGCTACATGTAAATGTTCCTAAGACATTAGTTTTAACCAAATTATTTTATTGGTCTTTTCATTTGTAGGTTTGTTTGGTATTTGTAATTATGGTGTAGACATAAACGGTTATGTAAACCATCCACAAAAAGGATTATGCATTTGGCTTCAACAAAGATCATTCACTAAACAAACATGGCCTGGCAAGTGGGATAACATGGTTGCCGGAGGCTTATCAGTAGGATATAATATTATAGAAACTGCTCATAAAGAAGGTGAAGAAGAGGCATCATTAACTGCTGATCTTATGAAGAATTTGCATTCAGCAGGCACTGTATCGTAAGTATTTTTTAATTTTTTTTTTGTATTTGTAAATACATTTTTTTGTATTTATTTTTCAGTTTTTTTTATGAAAGTGAACGAGGATTATTTCCAGATACAGAGTTTGTATTTGACTTAGAATTACCACCAGAATTTGTCCCTTGTAATCAAGATAATGAAGTAGAAAAATTTGAACTATTGACTGCATGTGTTAGTATTTATATTATTATTTTATTATTTATTAATTTACTTACATAAAAACTAATTATTTAGGAAACAATAAACAGAATACTGTCACCCGATTTCAAGACTACTAGTTGCCCTGTGATCATTGATTTTTTGATTAGACATGGTGTTATTAATCCGGAAAATGGTGAGTAAATATTAGCCTGATATCTTGAAGTTTATTAGTATTATTTAAAACTTTGAAAAATCAATTTTTTATTTTTGTCAAAAGACTATTAATAATCATATTAACTAATTTAGGTATATTGATACATTAAACATAAATATTTTTTTTTGAAACCATTTTTGTATTCAAATTTACATTTTTTTAGAGCCACGTTTTCCAGAATTGGTTGAATTATTACATGTACCGCTCCAGTCTCTTTACACAAAGTATGACAATGTACGGACAGAAAATGGCCTTTCAAAAGGCGAGTAAATTGTTGTGTAAATCTATTTTAAGTCTTCTTTCATCTTATCTTTCCATATTACAATATTACTTATCATTCTTCATTTTACTTTGATTCTTTATTATTTATTTTGCCAAATATTCACTAAAACCCATTATGTTCCTTCCATTATTATTGTGATACATAAATTAAATGCGTACTTCGCGCTCTAAGGTGTTATTATTATTTTATTTTAATTCTTTACATATTAAAACGTTTAACTAATAACGCTATTTTTAAATTAACCTTTATGTATTTGGAAAAGCAGACTATGTATTTATATTTAAATGTTTCTTTTTTCAACTATTCTATAGCATTTTGTTATATATAATAGACAATATTTTTAAATAGACATAATAATTGTTCACAATCATTGTATTTTGTAAGCTTTGTGGTTTGGCTAGTATATTTTTAAATAATAACACTTAAAACCATTATAAACATCATATAAGTAAGTGTAGTGTTATATTGAAGTGATAATAAAATTATATTTATTGTCTTAATAATTATATTTATTTGTAATTAATAATTATTATTGTACTGTTTTTATATTATTTTTATCATGAATATTTTTGTTTTCGATGTTCATATTACTTATTTTGTAGTTGTTGTTAATAATAAAATATTAACCTCAATGATGGTGACGTTGGAGATATTAGAGGTTTTATTTAACTTTTTTAGCTGTGAATTTGCGATTTGTGTATCCTCATAAATAGTATAGGTACCTATGCATATGATTACATAAAAAACAATTTTTTTTATGTTAACTTATGCTTCATGAATTTCCTCTAATTATTGTACTATTTATTGTGACATACCAGGATTCTACCTCCTGCTCGCTACCACTCTTAATATAATATATGGAAGAGATAAATATCAAATCTTTTTTTATTTAATTGTAATAACAGCTATATCAATTTTTTGAAAAAGTACCACGTACTTATACCAATTTCTACCTGGACATTTTTTAATGATTTTTATACGCGTATCATATTCTAATAATACGCGGAAATTAAGGGGGAAGGGACTAAGTCCCTTTAAAACGTATAAATAAAGAAATCAGTTGAAATGTACCAACTGTAAAGTGGTCAGTAGTCACTGATTTAATACTATAAATAATAAATGTATTGGTAATATATATTATAATATCATTGATTAATGATTATATATAATTGTATATAATTGTACATAATTATATACAATTGTATATTATAATAAGTGATATATAATAGAATTAAATGTATATAATTGTATATTGTATATATAATCAATGATAATATAAAGTCGTTTTCAATTAAAATATTGTTGGAGCACAAATAAAAAAACGTTTACAATTTTTTTTAAAAAATTGATATATATATAAAATAGGTATTATTTTAAAATAAATGATTTAAATTTGTTGTTTGGTATTCTTGAATATGTACATTATACAATTTGATATATTTTTTAAACTTGTAATATATTTTAATATAACAAGGTTTATTGTAAAGAAATATTTAATATTTCTCTTTTCTATATAATTCTTTTAACATTATCAAATCAAATGTATAGGTTTAAATTGCGTTATTCAAATTAAATTAATTTTATTTGAATAAATTATTTTGGTAAAATAAATCACACTAAGATGATTTTTGCAAGTGCAGATAGTGACTTTGATCCACGATAAAGTATTTTGAAATATCATCTCCTTTTAAAATTAAGGAAAATGCCTGCTTACGATTCAAATTCGCTCCTTCCCGTGCACTGAGCACAACCTTCTGGTCTTTTTATTTTTTGTTTAGAAATAATGTAAACCATTTAATAATCATCTCAGTTTCTACAGAAATAATTACTAAAATATTGAACAGTGAAAACTTATTGTATTTGTCTGATGTCCATGGGACACTCTGTATACACAGATTTCATTATCTTCTTGAAATTATTTCTAAAGAAAGTCTACATTACTCAATATGTGTGTAGGTATCTACATTAAAAAAATGTTGACTTTTAGTATATAGTAGTGATTACTGAACTTAGGAACAAGCAATTTGACAATATTGTGCGTGTGTCTGAGACAATATTGGTTCTATTGAAACGCGGCCTCTGAGTGACGTCACCGATAAAACATACAGTACATATACTGATATACCTAGTGTTCAAAGGAACTTATACATATGAGGTCATGGCTATATATTGACGTTTTTTGAATTTTTCGAAGAAATCAATAATCACAATATTATCGTTGAAGTTATTCATATTGTTAATGCAGATATTATATCAGTAGGTATGTACTATTGTCGTAAAAGTAATCTAACTTTGCCTAGTATGTATACAGGGTGATTATTTTATCATTAAACACTCATTATTTCGCAAAGTATACTATACTTATAGAAAAAAAAAATTGTTTTGTCTTTTTAAGAAACACACAGATTTAAAATATCGTATCACCATTACTTTTTTGTCACCCTTATTTTTGCGAGTGAAACAACTACCAACTTTTGATTTTCAAATGGTAACCTATACCTATTAAAAGTTCCATGAAAGTACCTACAGATGGAGTTTTAGTTAAAATACATTTTGCTGTTTCCGTAACGACCCAAAAATGAAGTATTCTACTTTCAAGTATGAGTAGATAGGAAATGTAATGGTACATAATATTAACACGCCGTGCGCTGTGTCATTTCACATTTATTGAAATGCTACAGGTTTAGGAGGTACCTACCTACATATATTATAACTTAAGTATAATATAATATACAGGGTGATTATTTAAGTGTGCTCACCTCATTTTTATGATTAAATTATGTATAAATTTTAATTCTAATTTGTTCTGCTTTAAATACTAAGGATAATAATAATAGCCTTTTATGGGGATTGGATATCGACAGTTTCATACAGGTGTCGTGTATTGGTAAATTCTTATTTGTTTTGAATCGTACAGTTACTAGACTAGACTATCAACTCTAGGGATGCTAAAATTATCATCATAATTATCAAAAACCCATGGGAGCTACGCTCTCACAATCCCCTTTACACGGTTCTTACAATAGTCAACTACACCTTTCATTTATAATTTTGTACATACAAATTTATCATGATTATTTTTACATCATTTTTCTTACACACATGCAGTATCTGTAAATATCCTATATTTTGTTCTGCTCATTAATTATGAAATATATGGGTAAAATATTTTGTCGTTACTATGAAAAAGCTGATTGGGTGTTTTTTGAGGCGAGTTAATTTTAAACTTGGAGGTGCTAAAGACCCCCATAGAACTCCCCCTCCCCCTATTTGCGCTTATGACAGTTACTATAATTCACTATTGAAATTAAAATTATACAGAAACTTCTCATTTAAATTTCAATTACAATACGTCAAATGTTCAGAAAAATTATCTGATTGACAATTTGTTTTCAAAAATGTAGGTATTCATTTGAAAAACCAAAGCTGGTGTTATCACAGAATACTCTTTAAGTGTTGTGAAAAATCTAAGTATTCCAAAATATCGTCTTTCACTACATTTTAAAATTCCAAAAAAAAGAATTTGCATTTATACATTATCTAACCATAAAAATGGGTTAAGTATATTTAAAAAATCGCCCTGTGTATTATTATAAATATTTAAGAAACATGAGGTAATGGGATGGATACATGATCCAATCCCCCTTCGTTAAACCATCCCTGTAGACACATAACAATAAACGTAATTTTGCATATTGGGACTAACCTCACTCATTTTATTTAAATACACTAACTAAAATCTATACCTAAATCTGTACATAATATACGTAGTAGGAACGTGTATATTATGACGCATTCAAAATTCAAATTTCTTTTTTCATTAAACTCTTTATATTCTATAATAATTTTTTTTATTATTTTTCATGTATTATTACTATGGAATAATTACACAATTAAAAAATATATCTGTCATGTCTTACTCACAACGCATAGCCAAATAAAAAATAATATTAAATGTGTGTAATTGTACAACACATATACAATTAAATATAATATAATTATTTAATAATTATAATTATTATTTTTAATTATATAATTTAATATGTTGCACACTTGTTTCAAACACCAAAATACTTTTATATTAAACGACGTAAATTAACGTAATCTACGTTTATCCGTATTATTATCATTACCAACAATGTTAAAAAAAATTACTACGCTATGTACTATTGTATTCTTTACGTATGCTGTGTCATATATAGCAGCCTATAATTTAGGCAGCCCACTGAATTTTTTAAATTGAAGTTGCTTCTTTCTCTAAACGTACCGCGTAGTTGGTTATTTAATTGAAATATCCTTTTAGGAAACTACGAATTTAAACGATGATAAGCCCTATTTAATTTAAAATTATAATTTATGAAATAAACATATTTATTTTATTTTGGTCCTTGATTAAATATACCAACAAGAATCTCAATTAAACACATACAAAAAAAGAAAAAAAAAGTAGCTTATATGCTGATGAGTGCGGCGTGTGGCAGATGGCCGTGTGTAGTTGAGAAGATAGGGTACATATAGTTAATTGATTTATATCTGTAAACAACGATACACCATTGCTAACGAAAACCGATTTTAATCGTAATTCGGTTGTAAACATTTTTTAAATTCCATATCATTAACGATTTACATCAAAATTTGTCTTAAAATGGTTATGTAAAAAAACTACTACAATATATTGTGCTCAATTTTTTTTTCTTGAAATCCTGAGTTCTACTCATAACGAATCTCGTGTTAAATTGTCATATACTACTGTTTGGTTAAACAATTTTATCCTCATACCAAAAAAAAATACGTAAAAAATACGGACATATGCATGATGGGTGGGCCATTGTTGTAGGTGAGAAGTTGGGAAGGTAGGATATAAAGGAAAATTCAATGTACACACCGATTAATCATAGTTGACAAAAAACGATTCCAAGCCGAGTTCGGTTATACATGTTTTAAAAGGACATAATAATTACTATTGTTGTCAACGTTTTTTATTAAAATTTTACATTACCTATCTACGTTCAATCTTTTTTTTTTTTTACTACTATATACGACTTTTAATGAATCTCCTATTGAATTTTCAATCATTTCTGTTTAGTCTAACAATTTTATCCACAGAGTACCTACTGAATGAAAATTATATACAACGCCTATAAAAGGCAAATAATAAGGTTTCTTAATTTCTAGTCTCTCCGAACATTTTAAATTGAATCACAATAAAACATAATTGAAAATAATAAAAACATTATTTTTGTAAATTTTCCGGTTTTTCCTATGTCATTCTCAGGTTTTTCCCAATTTGTTAGTTTTCATTTTTTGTCTTTTTCAGATTTTTCCAATTAATATAAAACTGTATTATAATCGTATATTTAACAAAAATATTTTTGAAGTAAGTATAGTATTTTTTTTTTTTTTTATTATAATGTTGAAATGAGCCCTCATAATTTAGGGGCTCTGTACTCGTACACCACATGCACATGGGTAAATTATCAGGGCCTGGATGGAGACATAAATGGAGTTTACATTTAATTATTTAAAATAAACAGAAATGTACAATTTTAAAACCATTTGGGTTTAGTGTAGGTATTGTTGTGTAGGATTATAAAAACAATAATCTATAATAATGGCTAAAAACGTTTTCATATTAAAAGAAAAACATGAAAAGTCTGGACTTTATGCCCTACCACAATGCACGTTTAATAAGTTTTTGAACATTATGGATCGCCGTAGATATGATATGTTTTTAATTTGTACTATCACAAAGGTACCTAGTGTAGTAACTCGAAAAACTATGTTTTGAGAAAAACGAGTTCAAACATTTTACTAATTTTTAATTGCCTGTAAAACAAAAAAAAATATTCTTTTGTCATAAAATTTCGAATTTCTGAAGTTTATAAATAAAGTAAAATATCTATCTGAACTATAAAATGAAAGACATTTTCAAGATTAAATTTACTTTTTTTTG